ATGTAAGAGCTGGAAGATGGTGAGAGGAGCTGAGAAATATCATCTTTTAACATGACATGGCCAAGGCAACCATAAACTCAACAGCATCTGTACACGCTGGCCCTGGGTCCACAGAAGTCAGGCCTTCCTCACAATCTGATATGGAGTAGGAAGGGACGGCTTCTCTTTTTTTCCCCCCTCAACTTTTTTGTTTCTGTGATAAAACAACATGACTCAGGTAACTTACAGAAGAAAGAGTTTATTAGGGCTCACAGTTCTGGGGGACAGGATTCCATCATGGTGGGGAAGCAGGGCAGCAGAAGCAGGAGGCTGGGTGCTTGCATCTTTAACCACAAGCACAAAGTAGAAAGAAATGGCAAACAAGAAGTAGGGTGAGATCTTAAGATCTCAAGCCTAGCCATAGTAGTGCCGCACACTCAGGAGACAGACGCAAGTGGATCTCTGACTTCAAGGCCAGCACGGTCTATAGAGCGAGTTCCAGGACAGCCAGGGCTACACAGAGAAATCCTGCCTCAAAAGAAAAAAAAAGTAAAAATGTAAGAGCCTGTGCATACTTACCAAGCCTTTTATTACTTGATGTGGCAGCAAGAAATTAAACCAGGCTTGGGCTGGAGGGGCCACAGCAAGACTGAGGTTGTGGCTGTTTTATTGAGAGCAATCAGATTTGTTATACCTTTATCAAAAACAGAAGATAATGTCAATACCTGGGATCAAGACAGTTGTAGTTACCAGGATACAACAAAGTTTGAAAGCTATATTGAGTACACAAGATTAATGTCCAAGATCCATTGTCCTATTAAGCTTCTATGCTTCCTTGACTACTAAGGAATCATACAGAGAAACATAAAGCAGCCTAAAGGCTTCACTGCCTGAGAGTGTGCATCAGTCTCTCAGGAACCAAAAGGCACACAGTGTCCCAGGAGCTACAACTCTAACCTTAGAAAACCTCAAGGCAGCCGGGCGGTGGTGGCACACGCCTGTAATCCCGGCACTGGAGAGGCAGAAGCAGGTGGATCTCTGTGAGTTCGAGGCCAGCCTGGTCTACAGAGCTAGTCCAGGACAGGCTCCAAAGCTACAGAGAAACCCTGTCTGGAAAAACCAAAAAAAAAAAAAAAAAACAAAAGCCTCAAGGCAGCTAGGCCAGGCCCACCCCAGTGACACACCTCCTCCAGCAAGGTCAAACCTCCTACCCTCCCCAAACAGTTCCACCAATGGGAGCCAAGTGGTCAAATGCTTGAGGGTCATTTCTCATTCAAACCACCACAGAACTCATGGGTCCATGTGCTGCCGATCTGCTGGCCACACACAGTCCAGTAGAGGGAAAGACAGGTATCTAGCTGTATATCCATTGGTGAGTCCACTAAGGCTCTGATGGGTAATTCCAAATTCAGGATCACACAGGGGCCCCTGATTTAGATCTATGGGACACTAAACAAAACCAAAATAGTAAATAGGGGAAAGAGATTTATAACAGCAGGGGTGGGGGATATTTTAAGAGAATGAAAAGGAAATTGGGAAGGGAGGACCAGAATACATAATACACATGTATGAAAGAATAAAATGATGGCCATAGGCCTATGTGGGAGGGTAGACTGGAATGTTATGGCTTGGATATAAAAATGTCCCCCAGGCTTGTGTCCAAACACTTGACTCCCAGCTTGTAACAACACTATTTGAGAGGTTGTGGGATCTTCTAATATGAGGTTTATCTGGCAGATATGGCACCATAAGGACATGGAATGGCTGGTTCCAGACCTAGCTCAGGTCTCTCTTTTCCCTGACTAGTGCTATATGCTGCTACCAATAGAGCCACCTGGTGCCATGACTCCCCACTATAATGAACTGTATCCCTCAGACTGTGAGCCAAAATAAATCCTTCCCACATTGCTTTTGTGTTCTTATTCTCTAAAATACCCATGTTATTTTTGCTACACCCAATTAAGAGACCGCATTCTAGCGTGTTCCCCATTACATGCCTATTCCTTTTATTTTAGAATTCTGTTCTTAAAAGTCAAGATTCTGTTTGCATTTTTTCATTCCAACAAAAATAGTTTTTTTTTTAATGCACTTTGCTGGGGAAGAAAAGCTATCAGTAATCTTTCTAATTTAGGGACTCTGCATGCTATGCTAATGACCTGGAAGATAAGATTGTTACATTATAACCAACTTCTTACTGAATATATTTAAGGCCCACTTCACAGGAGGGAATTCATATCTACTATTTCAAACCTAGCCAAAAGCCCATGGCTGAGGAGGTCATAGGCTCTGGAAGGGAAGTTATTTGTACTAATTAGTTATTTGTTTGTTTGGTAACAACATGAGCTGGAGTCATCTGGGAAAGCAGAACCTCAATTGAGAAAATGTCCACATGAAATTGGCCTGTAGGTGCTGGGGAATATTATTTTAAGATGTAATTTTGTTTATGTTGCATTTGTTTAACTCTGTGGAGCTGTGTTACTTTGCCTGTCTAAAACACCTAATGATCTAATAAAGAACTGAACAGCCAATGACAAGGCAGGAAAAAGGATAGGTGGGGCTGGCAGGCAGAGAGAATATATAGAAGGAGAAATCTGGGAGGAAAGAAGTAGCCAGAGAAGGAGGAAAACTCCAGGGCCCAGCCACCCAGGCACACAACAAGCTAAAGAGTAAGAGGAAGATTTACAGAAGTAAGAGAATGGGAAAAGCTCAGAGGTAAAATGTAGACAGGATAATTAAAGTTAAGGAAAGCTGGCAATAAACAAGCCAAGCTAAGGCCAGGCATTCATAATTAAGAATTATGTGTAATTTATTTGGGAGCTGGGTGGCGGGTCCCTCAAAAGAGTGAAAACAACCAACAACATGTAGACAAGACAATGCGGCATTTTGTTATTAATGATGAATGTGGGAGGACCCAGCCACTGTGGGTGGTGCCACCCCTGGGAAGGTGGTCCTGAGTTGTATAAGAAAGCAGGCTGAACAAGTCATGGAGAGAAAACCAGTAAGTAGTGTTCCTACTTCAGCTCCTGCCTTCAGGTTCCTGTCTTGAGTTCCTGCCTTGACTTCCCTTAATGGTAGATTGTAAACTGTAAACTGAAATAATCCCTTTTTTCCCCCAAGTTGCTTTTAGTTGTGGTGTGTTTATAATAGCAATAGAAAGCAAACTGTAACATTATTAATACTGCCAACCAAGATGTGCCCACTTGTGAAGTAGTGGCATGGCTATTATTGAAGTAACAAACTACTTTCTTACTGAATTTGAGGCTCAACTCCATAGAAGGAATTTAAGCCTAGCACTGTAAATTTAGTCAAAAGCCCAGGACAGGGATGGCACAGGCCCTAACTACCATTGCTTTGCTAAATGATCATGCTGCCAAACTGCCTCATAACTATTTGTTTATACCCATAGATTATTGCTGCTCTCAGCCTTGATTAGAGAAGCTCCTGTCTACAGTAAACCAGTTAATGAAGACTTGTAACTAGTCAAAATGCTGAGTGACTGTTGAATGCTTATCTTAAACAGGACATCCATATCAACCCCTCCAAAGCTCAGTAAACATTGCAGAAAGAATTTAAGAGCTAGAAGATGGGAAGGAGTGTTGTAAATTGTTATCTTCTGGACACATCAGACTGTTGGATCCATGAAGTGACAGTACCTGCCCAAGACTGAGTACTGTGGGATGTCTTTCTGTACACTGCAAATATGTTGTTCCCATTGGTTAATAAATAAAGCTGCTTTGGCCTATGGCAAGGCAGCTTAAAGGCAGGCAGGTAATCCAAGCAGAGATATGAGGAGAAAGGTGGAGTCACGGCAGACGCTGTGAGCTGTCACCAGAAGCAAGATGTGAGGGAACAGGTAATGCCATGAAGCCACGTGGCAAAACAGATGAACAGGAACGAGTTGAATTAAGTTGAAAGAGCTAGCTAATATAAACTGGAGCCATAGGTCATACAGTTTGTAATTAATATACACCTTTGAGTAATTATTTTATAAGCAGCTATGGGACTGCAGGTGGAAGAGATCTGTCCAGACTGCTGGGCAAGGAAGGACCAGAGAAAATTCCAGCTACAACTGAGCCTTTCAACATCCCATCATAGATAGGGGAGGGGCTGGTGAAGTCCTACCCATCTCTCTGGAGATATAGGTAGTTAATGTTTGCTAAGTGGGGGGATTAGCCACTACGTTGCCTTACTCAAGCAAATAACACCCCCACCCGTGTTCATGTAAGCAATTACATGCAATAGAAAGTACACACACACACACACACACACACACACACACACACACACACACACAAAATATGAAAGTAGGAAGGGAATTCACTGCAAAGAAGGGATTCAGTGGGAGGATGAAGGAAATGAGAGAAGATAATAGAGGATATGATCAAATTTATATATATGAAATTGTGAAAAAAATAATTAGATCATGGATGGGAGTGGAGCTCATGAGGTCCCAACCCTTCCTAAGGAGCTAGTGGCAGTTAATGGCTGCTGAGAGAAGGGAGACATTTTCTTCAGTAGTGTAGTTTCTGGCAAGTTGCCCATGATCCAGTCAATAACCCCTCACTCATGTTCATGTAAACAACCCTAACTAAATTCAGTGGACCATTAAAACCCAAAGATAAGCTGGGCATGGTGGAGCATAACTTTAATCCCAGTACTTGGGAGGCAGAGGCAGGTGGATCTCTGTGAGTTTGAGGCCAGTCTGGTCCTGGACAGTCAGGGCTACACAGAAGAACCCTGTCTCAAAAAACAAAACAAAACAAAACCAAAAATACATCAAAGTAGAAGAGGAACTATTGGGGACAAAGGAGGTCAGCGAAGTGGGAAGAACATCATCAAAATAGTGTATGAAATTATCAAAAAATAATTTTGTGAAGAAAAAAAATTTAAATGTTCCTGCCCATTTTCCCAGTGACTCTTCTAGACATCTGTACTATGAATGATCCAAAACACAGTACAAATCACAAAGGTGTTAAGTGCCTTAGCAAAACGCTGGTGATTTAAATATGTAACACAGGGGCTGGCTCAACATGGTACGGTTTATTCAAACGGTGAATCATAAAGCCACTGATTTATTCTTTTACAACATACCAAAGTATTTTAGTATGTACTATTACAGAATTCAGTAACTGTCAATGTTATTAAAAATACTAAAAAAATTTTTTAAAAAGACTGGAAAGAAATAAACTAGAACATTGACACCAGTCATCTCTGCCCCTATTGATTTTCTTGACTTCCACAATGAGCTCCTTAGTTAGCAAAACGACACACTCTGTTTTTGTTGATTAAATCCAACAGGTATGTTCAAGACTAATTTACCGTTAGTTTCTGAGCAACCAAAAAACTCAACTGTGAATATTAACGCTAATTTTACTTCCAAGTTACATTTCACTTCCCGATACTAGAACATATAATTTAAGGAATAATCAAAAGGAAACAAAAACTCAAATGACAATGAATTTTATAAATACACTCATATACATAAAGCTAGAAAGAGATCAGAAAAAATGATGACAGGAATTATTACTAGTGAAATTTTATGGCTTTTAAATATCTTTTCAGCTTAATTTTTATTATATGTTCTCAATGAAAATGTTGCTTTCATAATAAAGTTTGCCATCTTTCTAAAAAATTACCACCAAGCAGATTACAGTATATCTATCAATGGACTATTAAAATGTTACAGAAGCCGGGCGGTGGTGGTGCACGCCTTTAATCCCAGCACTCGGGAGGCAGAGCCAGGCGGATCTCTGTGAGTTCGAGGCCAGCCTGGGCTACCAAGTGAGTCCCAGGAAAAGGCGCAAAGCTACACAGAGAAACCCTGTCTCGAAAAACCAAAAAAAAAAAAAAAAAAAATGTTACAGAAGAGTATTTACTAATATGAAAAAAATTCTGAAATGTTAGTAGCTAACCATAAGATCAGACAGTATGCTCAGAATGATCCCAATGTCATTTAAAAACAAACAAAAGCATCTGTATACATAAATACCTACATATGTAATATACCAAAGCGCAGTGTTTAAGTGGTAGAATTATATATCTTTAAGCCATTTTTGCATCTGCATTTTGGCCTATTTTCCTCTACTAAATATGAATTTTTTTCTAATATGCAAAAAAAAGCTTTCTTAAAAAATCTAGGTTAAACAAGAAGTTACCTTGTTAAGTAACAGGAATAGACACTGATATGAGCAAAATAGAAAGGTCCTCCTACTGAGGCTTCAAGCTCTACCCACACCAGTGTCAATCAACAGGATGCCTGCCTTCCAGCATGATAAGAGCAGTTAGCAAAAACAATTCTTCCTGCTCATACTTGAGTATGCTGGTCTGGACCACTGACTCGCGCAGCAGCGGCCACTGCTAATGGCAGCCCAGGCATCTGAAATCTTGTGTTTTGTTTGCTTTTGAAAATGCTGGGAATCAGATCTCTTGGGGCCCTGTATATGCTAGTCAGCGTTCACCACTGAGCTACATCCCCAACCTTGTATGGAGTCTCTAAGTCAGACCCTGGTGGAGAAGGGTATAGAGAAAAAAACATAGAGCTATGAGTCTGATTACAAGTAAACATGATTTTCAATCAAGTGATTATGGAAATGCACTATTTATATTGCACATAACACACTCACTAGGGAATTCTACTCTCAGACCTGGTAGAACTCTGAGGTCATCAGAAGACAATTTTCAAGACATTGCCTTCAAGGGTGTCATGTCAATATTGACTAGAAACAGTATCAGAGATGTTACGCTAGAAAAGTAAACAGCTCAAAAGCCTTGCTTCCTGTTTATGTAATTTAAAGTCACTTTACTGCTAGCCAAAGTGAGTCAGCATTCTGATTTAATCTAAGAACTTCTTGACTTTCCATATACTAAACAAGATTACAAAGAACAGCTGTCAAGCCAGAAGACGTAGGAAGGACAGAAATAAATACAGACATGTGTCCTCCAGCCCAAACAATGAGATAGTTATGGAACTAGATTATCAGTTCAATCTATTTCCAGATCGCTGTCTTCACTGTGATATGTGGCAGAGTTTCGAACAGATGTCAGCACCAAGACTTCCTTTTCTGGGAGCAATCCAAATTCCTGTAGGAAAGCTTCAAGGTCTACAGCAAAGAAATCTTCCCCCAGCTGGTCAGTGACACGAACAAAATTGCCAATCAATTCACCCGCCTTGTAGATGAGTAGAGCCGGAAGGGCATTCCGGGTAAAACGACTGCTGGCCCCAATAACTGAGCTCCTCACTCGGCAGAATTTGACAGCCGGGTACTCTGTGGCAAGGCAGATCATGCAGCCATTCATGGCTTCGGTCCCTGGGATGCCATCTTCATAAATATGAACCATGATAAGGGTGCTTTTCTGTTCTTTATCAATCATTTCTAAAAACCCTTCTCCACTGGGGATCTCAAAAACTTGCTTAAACTGAGGCCCTTTATGAAATTGCTGCCGCATCTCTTCCATTCTCTGCTTCCGGTACTGCTGCAGAAACTCTTCGTCATCCAGGTTCTTGTCCATTGTAGCAAACTCCTTCAGAGTCATCTGCAGGAAAACCAGCCAGTGAACAAAGACAGGCATAAACAGTTTAGTCATTGTGGAGATGCACCCTGTACTGAGAATACATGAGGTACCATGTTACTGTCTTATGCACATTATGTCATTTCTCTCTCCTTTAAAATTTTTTATGCCGGGCAGTGGTGGTACACACCTTTAATCCCAGCACTTGGGAGGCAGAGCCAGGCAGATATCTGTGAGTTTGAGGCCAGCCTGGGCTACAGAGTGAGATCCAGGACAGGCACCAAAACCAAAACTACACAGAGAAACCCTGTCTCGAAAAACAAAAACAAAAACAACAAAAACAATTTTTTTTTTATGTCTAGAGGTGTGTTACATGTGTACCATGTGCACATTGGTGCCTGTGGAAGCCAGAAGAGGGTATTGGATCCCCTGGAGATGAAGTTATAGAGGTTTCAGGCCACCACATGGGTGCTGGGAACCAAATCTGAGTCTTCTGCAAAAGTCAATTTTAACAGCTGAGTCATCTTTCCAGACCCTCCTGAAAGTTTTTAAATTACATTTACATTCAAGGGCATGCCCATACCATGGTGCTCCTATGAGGTTAGTTCTTTCCTACCATGTGGAGTCCAGGAATGGCTTTTTTTTTCCACCTCTCATTAAAACAGGGTCTTATTATGTTGTCTGGACTAGCTCTGCCATGGCCTCCCAAGTAATTAGGACAACATGCCCATGCCATTACCCTTGAATTCACCTATCACTGAATTCTCAATCTCATAAGAAGAACATTAATAACCCCATTTTGTAAATGTAGGTTTAACCCCAAGACTTTACATTATTTGCACAAATTCACACAAGTATAAAGTACAAGACTAGGATTCAAACTGGACTTTTAAAAAATTTATTTTTATTATTTTTAATTATATGTATAAATGTGTGGGGGGTGATAGTGCATGTGAGAGCAGGTGCCTGCACAGTTCAGAAGAGGGAGTCAGATTCCCAGGAGCTGGAGTTACATACAGTTTAAACCCACCATGTGGGTTCTGGGAACCACACTGGGGCCTCTGGAAGAGCAGTGTCCGTTCTTATCCACTGAGCCGTCTCTCTAGTCCTGTAAACTGGATTTTAGAAACTCAGATTTTCAACTACAGTACCATATTGCCTCTCATTCCAAAACAGGCAGCAGCATCATGTATCAGTTCTCTGATGGACACTCTTTCTGTCAGTCTCGGCAAGTGTTCCTTTAGTCACTTTCCTTTTTGAAAAGACAACACATTAATCTTCCAAAGGAACTCACCTCATTGCTGCTCTGCACATATATCCACATGACACAAACTCTAAATGTTTTCTTTCTTCTTTTTTTTTTAAGATTTATTCATTTTATGTACAAGTGTTTTGCCTGCATGTATCTATGTATACCAAATGAGTGCTTGGTGCCTTTGGAGATCAGAAGAGGGTACCAGATCTCCTGGAACTAGAGTTATAGATGGCTGTAAACCACTATGTAGGTGCTAGAAATGAAACCCAGGTTCTCTGCAAGAACAACATATGCTCTTAACCACTGAGCCAGCTCTCCAGTTTAGTGGGGTTTTTTTGTGTTTTTTTTCCCCCCTTTTTTTGAAACAGGGTTTCCCTATGTAGAACAGGCTGGCCTGGTACACAAACTACCAATCCCCCCATCTTAGCCTCCCATGTACGACCAGGCCCAGCTTTTTTTTTTATTTGTTAGTCAACTGACTGTAGTATCTTGCTTCTGTAGCAGCAGCTGTGGGTATCTTGTAACCTGCTTTTGTCTCTAATTAATGTTAACAATATTACCTTTAATCCCAGCACGTAGGAGGCAGAGGCAGGTGGATCTCTGTGATCTACTGCCTGATCTACATAGTGAGTCTAGGCCAGCACAGTGAGACTCTGTCTTAAAAAAGAAAAAAATTTCCTCATGTTTCCAAACACTTTTATAAACTGATATACATAACTTACTCCCAGCCTCATTTCTGCCAAGCACACAGCTTCCAGTTCTGGCCTACTACAGGCAACTCAACAGGACAGGGACAGAATCTCTTCAATCTTATGACTGTTGCTTCATTCTGGTCTCTCTGCTCAATGGCTGTGAGCAGCAGGCACAGTGTGCTACAGTCAGCTTTCCTGACAGACATCTTCTTGGATCCAGCCTATCTGGTGTTCTGTAAGCTTCTTGTATGTTCATAGGTATTTCTTTCTTTAGGTTAGGAAAGTTTTCTTCTATGATTTTGTTGAATATATTTTCTGTGCCTTTGAGTTGGTATTCTTCTCCTTCTTCTATCCCTACTATTCTTAGGTTTGGTCTTTTCATGGTGTCCCAAATTTCTTGGACGTTTTGTGTTACGACTTTTTTGGCTTTAGTTTTTTCTTTGACTGACGAATCTATTTTCTCTATTGTGTCTTCAACGTCAGAGATTCTCTGTTCCATCTCTTGCACTCGGTTGGTTATGCTTGCATCTGCAGTTCCTGATCGTTTAGTCAGAATTTCTATTTCCAGCATTCCCTCAGTTTGTGTCTTCTTTATTGTCTCAATTTCAATTTTCAAATCTTGAACTGTTTCCTTCATCTGTTTAATTACTTTTTCTTAGCTTTCTTTGATTTCTTCCAATTTTTGTTTTTTTTCTTCTATTTCTTTAAGGGAATTTTTCATTTCCTCTTTAAGGGAGTTTTTCATTTCCTCTTTAAGGGAATTTTTTATTTCTTCTTTAAGGGCCTCTATCATCTTCTTAAAGTCATTTTTAGGATTGATTTCTTCTGCTTCTTCTGCCTGGGTATGTTCAGGTCTTGCAGGTGTAGAATCACTAGACTCTGATGTTGTCATATAAGTCTTTATGTTGTCGCCTGTATTTTTGCACTGGCGTCTACTCATCTCTTCCTCCACTTGGTTCAGGCGGTGTCTGTGTCTGAGAGTGCCTCTCTTGTTCCAATTGATAGTCTTGGTCCACTGGGAGCTCTTGGTTGAATCGGTGCTGTTGGGCTCTGTTTCTCCAGGAGCAGCTTAGTCCAATCAGTGTTAGTGGGTTCTGTTTCGGGGAGCAGTTGTTCCCAATTGGAGCAGGGTGGGCTTATGGCTCCAGTGGTTGTTGGGTTCACAGGGGCTGGTTTTTTTTTTTGGTGAGGGAACAGGGAAAGTTAGCTGTCTAGTCCCTGGGGCTCCGATGGCTGGGGCCTAGGGGATAGAGACCTGGTCTGCCGGACCGGAGATGGGGTCTTACCTGGTCCCAGTCAGTGTAGGGTGAACTTATAATTCTGGTGATCTGGTTCGGTGGCTGGGCGGCTCCTTCTCTTGTGTTCTCAGGTCACGTTTTGCTCACTTGTCAACTCCTCAGCTGATCTTATTTCCTCAGACTGCAGACTGTAGGCTTCTGAAACCTCTCCCCAGTGGATCTCAGCTGAGCGGGCTGATCAGTAGGGCAATCTCACCAACACCTCCAAGTTGTCTGCATTTGTTTTTTATTCTAACTCAGGTTGTGGCTGTGTCTTTTCCCCATTGGCTAGAACCTAACCTCACAATCCTATATGATTGTCTGAAAAGAACTGGCCCACTACACCAAATGGAGGATGGGGAGGGGATCCCTGCTTCCCGGAGAAAAGGTCACTGCTCCAGACCATTAAATCGACAGACATCTTCTTTCTCCTGGCCTGACATCTCTGCCTAATGTTGTATAGACTAGGGGTGGTAACCAGAGACCACACCAGTGTGGAACACTGGGTCAGCACTGTGTCGTAATTAATCAGCACCCTCTGGACTCTGTCTTATTACCAATCTTCTTTCCACCACTCTAACCTGAGACTGTCTTGCCTGGCCAACCTAACTAGGTCTTTTAGCTGATACAGCTTTTGTCTAGGTTTTATGTCTTGAAATCATTCCCCAGTCAAATGATAAACTCTTGGCTTAATGCTTTATCTGTACCTTCATGTTGGCTGATATTTTTAAATGTCAATTTACGATCATTGTGTGTGTGTACGCATACATGTGCAATGAATGCATGTGCACACACATTTAAAAGTGTAGGTGCATGTGCTATAGTATGCAGGTAGAGGTCAGAGGACAGCTCAGTAGATCTGGTTCTTTCCTCCCACCTTTACATGGGTTCTGGGGATTAAACTCAGGTCACTAGCTTGCACAGCAAGCACCTTTCCCCACTGAGCCTCCTCACTGGCCCTGTGCTTGATATTTTTACCTTTAAGCCACAGCTAATTGATCTTAGGCACTCCTGGATATTTCTTCCTTGGTCAGAGGGGACAAGAAAGACCTTTAATACTGATAAGGAGGTGTCAGAGACCTGGGTTCAAATATTTCCTAGGATGTCTGTTCTACTGTACTGCTTCCACAAAATAAATGCTCATGAATATGATTAAGAAAATAAGATATACTCCACACTTTCAACAGGCCAGTCCCTAAGATGGATATTTGACCTGCAGAACCCTGGGGAGAGAAAGGTAATGACCTTATTTAGCCAATGCTGAGCTAAGGCCAAGCCCAGATGCACCTGAGTTATGACAGGACTCTCCCCTTTGCCCTGCACTGCAAGTCAAATCCAGCTTCCTCCCCTTCCTGAATCACCAAGCCCACTTCCACCAGCCTGGGAAGTGTCTGGAGATGCCATTACCTTCCCACTGATTTTCTCCTGGAGGTCCTTCTGTTTCTGTTGCTCCTCCTCTTCGTCCAGCTGGGACCTGCAGGTCATAGACAGCTTTTTGATCAGCCGCTCCATCTCCCGGCACTGCTCCTCCCTCTGCTCTGTCTCCAACTGCTTGAAGCGGCGCCAGTCATTGATGACACCTTTCGGACCTGAGGAGGGCAAACAAACGGAGAGGCCAACATCTGTAAACAGGAACTTACATCTGTATGAGGCTTGCTCTATCTATGACACAGCAGGAGCCTCCGCACACCCTTACACAGGGCAGAATGTTCTACATACAATGAGGTTTCCTACAGCATAGTTTGCAAGAATTAAATGGCCAGCCTAATACCCAACATTGTACAAAGTGAAGGTAAATAAAGACACATTTAGGAAGGGAAGGTAATTCTAGACAGAGCTTGGTGGCCCATGTCTGCAATGCAAGCGTTCCACAGGAACAGGAAGATCACATGTTCACAGACAGCCTGTGCTATAATAAGATCCTTCCTCTAAGAATCAAGTCTGGGAATGCAGTTCAGCTTCCAGAATACTAACCAAGCACTCACAATGCCCTGGATTTGATCTGCAGCACCAAAAGGTAAGATGGGGCAGGATAAGAAAATTCTACATTTCTTGACATGAATGATACTCCAAATATATTAGGGAAGAACAAACAAAAACAAAGACAATGACAAGCTGGGCACAGTGTACATGCCAGGAGTATGCCAGAAATCCCTACTAGAGAAGCTGAGGATGGAGGATCATTTGAATTCAGGAGTTCAAGGCCAGCCTGGGCAACACAGTGAGACTCTCATCTCTAAAAAGAAAACAAAAATGGCTATTTCTTATCCAAGAAGAAGGCACCAATCTAGAAAGTTGTTAACACAGAAGGGAAAAAGTAGAAGGAAAAATATTGTATTGCTTTCTGGACTCTTAAGCAGCACCTCAACTTATAGTGGACTGGGGGTGTAGCTCAGTGGTAGAGCACTTGCATAGCATGAACAAAGGCCTCAGTTCAACTCCCAGAAATACAAAGTTAAAAACTAAAAACAATACACCACAGTGTAAGAGCCACTGAGGTGGCTCAGCAGGGAAGGACCTGCAGTCCAAGCCTGGAACCTGAGGAAAATTCCTGGGATTTAACTGCAAAGGTGGAAGAACCAACTCCAAAAAGCTATCCTCTTATCTCCATACTGGCACTCTGGAACATGTGCCCATGCACACGGACCATACATAGACATACAATAATAACAGATTTTAATTTAAAAAACGAATAGTGTACATATGCCATTTCTAGGAATTAATCCTACCAGTCTACTCCCATGTATGACTTACGGGTTCTGAAACCCAGTCCAGCCTGTTCCCTGCCATGCCGCCATGCACACAGATTTGCATGCACAGAGGAAGCAATGGAAGCAAGCACAGTGAACGAAAACACTGTGCTGTCTCTGAAGTGGGATTGGAGTTGGACAAAGGAGAGCAGAAGTTTCTAGTGGATGCACACTTTACAGGCCCATTTTGTGTCAGTTTCCACAGCATGAAGCTTTCCAGTACCTGTATTGACTGAAATGCCTTCGCCTGCCAGCTCAGCCTCCGCAGGTGTGGAGCTGCTGGCCGGGGCTCCACTGCCTCTGTCTCTATCTTCATGGTCACTGTCCTCATCCTCGCTGGTGCTGTAGTAGTACTGCAGTTTCTCTCCCAGCAGTTTATCATCCAGGGTTGTCATGGTTCCTAAGACGGCAATGTATCAGGGATTTCTTCCCAGCTTGAGCAAGGACATGAATCTGAACCACACAAGGTGCACTTGTGCTGACATCCGATAACTCACAGGAATCTAAAGTGTTCTCATCAGCAGAATCTCAACAAACCCCACCCTGGCTCTATGTCACAGTTTACATTTACATATTACAGGCTTCTGTTACAGAAGGCAAAACCAAGGTTTAGGTAAGGGACGCTTCTTTCCCAAGCTCAGCAACAGGTTCTGCTAACAGATCCCCTGAGAGCTGTGCTCCTGTCTAATCGTGTGCACTGGGTAAGAGCACAGTGGTTTCTATTCACACATGCTTTTAGTTTTAAGACTGCTAGCTGACAAACCGGAGAAAAGTCCTCAGGGAAAACGTCAAAAGGGACCACCAAGGGTATAGTCGTTCACTCCTCTGCCTCACTAAGCCTGGATATATGTCTCAAGCTGGACCAATTCTGACCAGCTAAAGCAAGTCTCCACGATAAGATCTAAACAATAACCAAATGTTTAAAGAACACCTAGGATCCAGCTATTTTGGGGAAGCAGTATAGTTCAGCTCTTTAAAAGTCTGTTTGAGGACCCAGCAGGAATGACTAGAAAAAAAGAATACTTTGGACATGATGGCACACGCCTGTAATCCCAGCACTCAGGAGGCAGAAGCAGGCAGATCTCTGTGAGTTCGAGGCCAGCCTGGTCTACAGTGGGAATTCCAGGACAGTCAGAGCTACATAGAGAAACTCAGTCTCGTAACTCCCCCCACACACTCACACACACACACACCAAAAAAAAAAAAAAAAAGGAAAGAAAGGATGAAAAAAGAATACAAAGCAGCCCTTCCTCTAAGCATACAAACACCATGTTTCAGGAGAGACTTAACACGTGGTTTTTACACTACTACAATGTGCCTCTCTCCCACAGAGCAGAAATCCAATAGTCAAGACAGAGTACTGTGCAGGCTGAAGGGACGAAAACTTAAAAAAAAAAAAAAAAAACCCTCTTTGACAGGGATGCACCAGAGGGACACAACTCGGTCCCTGAGAGATCAGGTATGTGCAATGGATCAGAAGAGTAGTGTGCTGAGGAGGCTGAGCTGCCGAGGTGAGGAAGGCCTGCATTCTGGCAGAGAGAACTACTATGCACAGAGCAGAAGGTAAACCTTAGGTGGGGACAGTAAGCTTGAGGTGGAGGATCAGGAAGAGGGCAGGGCGGAGACAGAGAAGGCAGTGAGGTGGGCAGGGCCAGAGAAAGGCTTGCAGAAGAGGCAGGGAGGAGGGCAGAGTTGGGAGGGGTATTCAAAGAAGGTAGGTCAGTGAAGAGGGCAGGGCTGAGGAGGGGGGAGCAGAGAAGGGCGGGGCGGGGCTTAGGACACAAGAGCTGGGAAGCAAAGCTGAGCAAAGCAGAGCTGGAAGGGGCAGAGAAGGCGGAGCCACATGGGGGCGGGTGCCTGAGGAGGGCGGGGCCAGGGAAGAGGAGCTGCGAGGAGGGGGGGGGGGAGGGACGGGGGGGGGAGGCGGGGCAATGTGAAGATGGGGCTGGGGAGGGGCGCGGTTAGAAGAGCCCTCTGGTGGGGGCGCGCCGAGTCTCGAGGGAAGTAAGAGAAGCCCGGGGAAAGCGGGAATCCAGGGGCCCGGATGCAAAGTAGTTCGCGCCCGGGTGCAGCGCTGCCCAACCCAGGTCCAGGCCGGCCGCTCCCCGCGCTGACGCCTGTGCAGTTACCTCGCCTCGCTCAGTCAGTTCCCTCCGGACTAGCAGCTCCAGCCACCAGCAAGGAAAGCTCGCTTAGAGAAAGAGAAGTGACTGAAGGCCTTGGGCAGGAGAAAAGCCGCCGAGAGTGGACTGTGCGGACCAATCAGGTGGCCTTCCGGCGTCATGACGGACGCACGCTGCCCAATCACAAGAAGCTTATCCCGGCGTCTGAGGAGAAGCTACCGGTCCTATTTTAGGACAAAACACTTCGAGATTAGGTTTGAGCTATGAATTTCCAACTTTGTATATAAGAAAATGTTATCAACTTTCAAGTTTCGAAACAAGTTCTAAATGCATTTTCTTGTTTGTTTTTGTTTTTAAAATCATGACTATTAAAACGAAGAAATGAGCCGGGCGGCGGCGGCGCACGCCTTTAATCCCAGCACTCGGGCGGGAGGCAGGGCCAGGAGGATCTCTGTGAGTTCGAGGCCAGCCTGGTCTACAGAGCGAGCTCCAGGACAGGCTCCAAAGCTACATAGAGAAACCTACCTGAACTGAGTCTACCAGGTTGATCTCAGTCTGTGGGGAGGCTTTGCCCTGGAGGAGATGGGAATGGGGGGGGGGGGGGACTGGGGGGAAGGTGAGGGGGACGGGAGGGGGGAGAACAAGGGAATCCGTGGCTGATATGTAGAACTGAATTGTATTGCAAAATAAAAAATAAATAAATAAAAAAGAAAAAGCGAAGAAATGGCTCAAAAGCATTAATTTCAGCCGGGCAGTGGTGCCGTATGCCTTTAATCCCAGCCCTTGGCGGGAGGGGGGGAGGGTATCTGTGTGAGTTCGAGGCCAGCCTGGTCTACAAAGAGAGTTCCAGAACAGCCAAGGCTGTTACACAGATAAATACTGTTTCGAAAACAAAAAACAACAAAACATTAATTTCTTCAAGAATAAGTAACCCAAAGGACAGAAATTAAAACTTAAAAACTACAAATCCAAGCCCTTAACAACCAAAAGCTTTCTGATATCCGAACTGGATTACGACAGGAAAAGGGCATAGACAACTGAAGAAATTTGAATAACTCCTATCAACTAATATTAGTTAAACAGTTGTTAAATCAATAATTTACATAATTTACTGCAGTTATGCACGGTAATAACCTTTGAAAATTCTAGATAAAGAAAACTATCTATGCAAAGTTTTGTTAAACCTTTGTTAACATGATTTCGAACTGTGAGCCTTAGTTGGGATGTCCAATACACAACTGTGCAATTTCTCATTAAAAACCGTACACAAATTAAATCATATAGAATATGCTAGGTTTATATAAAATACTGTTTAAAATAGGGTTCTTAATTTGAAAAAGGAGGTTCACAATTTATGGTTCCAGGATCACCTAAATGTTACTGCAAATTTGTCTACGTGCACATTTTCTTTAGAAGCTAGTCAGGCTATCAGAGACTGCATCCTCCAGCCCACTCACACACACACACACACACACACACACACACACACACACACACACACACACTGGGGGGGGGGGGCTCTTCCCAAATAAGATGGAGGTGGTAAATTATTTACATTCAAACATTTACTCAAATGAAGAAGTTAATAGATGTGTGTCAACAAAGGTTTAAAAACTTACTGATTTATAAAGAGGTGGGGAAAGTGAAATGTTGAGAAACCAAGATGAGTCTGTGAGAAATTGACAAGGAGGTAGGTTGGAAAGCAGTCATTATAGGGTGAGGAAGTTGGCCTTTGAGAGTGGCTCATGTTGTCAAGGAAAATAATGATAGTTGTTTATTTATATTGTAAGCACCTCTATTTTGAAATAGCTCTGCCATTTTCCTAGTCAATTTTTTTCACTATTGGTCAGAATTCTTCAGATAAAAAGAACCAGTAGGAAGGAAGGATAGATGGATAGACAGACACATCCATCCATATATAGAGATATAAATGATGAGGAATTGGTCCATGTGATTATGAAGGTCAGATTTTTGTTGTTTGTTTGGTGGTGGTGGTGGTGGGTGGGTTTGCTGTTTTGGTTTTTTTTTTGGTGTGTGTGTGTGTGTGTGTGTGTGTGTGTGTGTGTGTGTGTGTGTGTGTTTCGAGACTAGTTTCCTCTGTGTAACAGCTCTGGCTGTCTTGAAACTCTTTGTAGACCAGGCTGGCCTCAGACTCACAAAGATCCACCTGCCTCTGCCTCCTAAGTGCTAGGCATGCGCTACCAATACCCAGTGAAGGTCAGTAGTTTTAAATGATGTATTTGCTCCTTGTCTGATGGGTTAAAAGTGGACTATTATTATATAATACTATTTTGGTAAATGAATAAATTTGTAGATCACTATGACCTTGAACCTGCCTTTGCCTCCCCAGTGCTGGGATTAAAAGTGTGCACTACCCTGGCTTGGAAGATGAAATTATAATCATGGGAATTGTGATATTTGAGTTCCTTGTCAAATATCACAATTTGGGTATTTGGGTCACAAAGAAATATATCCACTGCACATTTTGAGTGGGGAGCTTGCACTTGTGGTAATAATCCTAGTGCACGTCACTGAGATTTGGTTCAGACTGTTATCAATGTGACAGAATGAGTGTCACTAAAGAGCGAGGCCTTTAGACATGCGGTAACGGTCATCTGGCTAGGTTAAGTGAGGTGGGAAGACCTATTCAATGGGATGCAGTCCTGGACAGAAAAAAAAATATAGAAAGTGCCGGGCGTGGTGGCCTTTAATCCCAGCACTTGAAGAGGCAGAGACAGGCAGATCTCTTTGAGTTCAAGGCCAGCCTGGCCTACAGAGTGAGATCCAGGACAGGCTCCAAAGCTACACAGAGAAACCCTGTCTTGAAAACAAAATAAAAAAATGTTAGTCCCAGAAAGATCCGTTGTTTAGTGTTTCGAGACAGTGTCTCACATTGTAGCCTCAGCTGGCCTGAAACTCACAGTAAACGTGCTGCCCCAGCTTCTCATGCGCTAGGATTACAGGTATGAGCTACCTTACCTGATTAAAGATTTAAGACGTTGAAAATGTTAAAAATATCTCAAATTCACATTACACTGATATTGAGAGGATGATAAAAGACCACTGAGTGTGTGAGAAACATAGTCAAAATTTAGTTCTGAGCCTTAAAATCATGTAACAAATGAGACATAAATATATTAGAAAACAATTGGGTTATCATTTATTATTAGTCCAATATTTTTCTTCTTTTAAAGATCTGTTTATTTATTTTATATACACATGCCAGAAGGGAGCACCAGATCTCATTATAGATGGTTGTGAGCCACCATGTGGTTGTTGGGAATTGAACTGAGGACCTGGGATCTTAACCTCTTAACCTCTGAGCCATCTATCCAGCCTCCAATATTTTTTTCTTTATAAAAGTATTTCCCTTGGATTTCTTTACACTTCCAAGAAATGTAAGTGTAGCTATTAGTCATTGCTGTAATACAATATCCTAGTAACATCCAAAGAAAACAAAAAACATGATTGCAGAGTTATGTGGCTCAGGAATCTGGGCATGTCTTGCTTGCTAGCTGCCTTTGCTCAAGGTCTCTACGATACTGAAGTCAAACTCACTGGAGCATCAGCTGGGGTGGGGCAACAGGGCAACAGAGCAGAAAGTCACTATCAAGCTGGTACTCATGGTTGATGGCTGATTTGATGGCTTAACCATGGGTTTCCCCATAAGCTTATTTTCCCTTGTGTGTGGTATGTGTGTGCACATTAAGACTGAAGGTTGACTTCTAGAGTCCTCCAATCACTCTTTACTGAAACTATTCAGACAAGGTCTCTCATGGAACCTGGAGCTCCTGATACAGCCAGTTTAAACTAACCAGCTTTTGCAAGGATCCCATCTCCACCTTCCAAGTACTGGAATTATACAGGTGGGCCACCCAGCGTTCTGAGATCTGAACTCAGATCCTTATAGTTGAGCAGCACAAGCGCTTTAGCTGCTGAGCCATTTTCCCAGCTCTGTTTGTTTTGTTTTTGGTTTGTTTGATTTGAGGTTTCTTATTTTGGAGTTTTTTGGGGGGAGGTATTGTTAGGGTTTGGGGTCTTTTTTTGAGATAGGAGCCTCATTCTGTATCCCCGGCTGACCTTCCAAGTACTGGAATTACAGGTATGCACCACAAGCCTGGCCTCATAGTCTTGTGCCTGGCTGCTGGGTGTGTGTGTGTGTGTGTGTGTGTGTGTGTGTGTGTGTGTGTGTGTGTGTACCCACATGCACTGCATTTATAGGAGGAGACAGAAGAAAAAGAGGAAGAGGGAGAGAAGAAAGAGAAGAGGACCAGCAAGATGGTTCAGTGGGTAGGGCTCTTGTCACCAAGCCTGACAACTAGGGTTTGATTCTAGACCCATGTAGTCAAAGGAGAGAACTGAGTCCATGGCATATTGTGAACACACACACACACACTTTTTAACTATTTAAGGAGAAGAAAGTCCACAACTAAAATGGAGGAGCTGAAGAGGTAGCACAGAGGTTTTTTTTTTGTTGTTGTTTTTGTTTGTTTATTTGTTTGTTTGGTTGGTTAGTTGGTTTTGGTTTTTTCGAGACAGGGTTTTTCTCTGTATAGCAGCTCTGGTTATCCTGGAACTCAGTCTATAGACCAGGCTGTGCTTGAACTCACAGAGATCCACCTGCCTCTGCCTCCTGAGTGCTGGGATTAAAGGCATAGCACAGAGGTTTTAAGAGCATATACTGTTCTTGTAAAGAACTGAATTCTGTTCCCAGGATCCATACAGCTGCCTATAACTCCAGGTCCAGATCTGATGCCCTCTTCTGGGCCCATGAGCACTGCATTCAACATTCACAAACCCACCCTCAGACATACACATATACACATATTTAAAATTAAAAAAAAAAACTAGCCAGGTGGTGGTGGCACACGCCTTTAATCCCAGCACTGGGGAGGCAGAGGCAGGTGGATCTCTGTGAGTTCAAGGCCAGCCTGGTCTACAGAGTGAGTTCCAGGACAAGCTCCTAAGCTACACAGAGAAAACTTGTCTCGAGAAACAAACAAACAAAAAAGAAAACAATAACTGAAAAAAAAAACTAGCAACTAAGATCTAAGCCATGCTTTTATAATCCAACCTTGTAAGTGACCTACTATTATTTGCCTAGGATGCTTATGTCCCCGGATTCAAGCCCCAACAATGGGTTTGGGAAAGTGAGCCAATGAGTTCAGCCCACATTCAATGGGGGAGACTATTTAAGTCACAATTTTTACATGACTATGAAGTTAGAAAAGGTTGGTTGTCATTATATTATTTGAAAAAGGCAACTGAAAAGCTTAAGAAAATTTATGTGAAAGAATGCAGTCGATACAGGAATCAATTAAGATAAAACTCAAGAGAAAGAAGAGAAACTTAGAAAATATATGTAAATGTAATTTTATTGTGTATGCACATTTGAATATGGGTTTGTATGCATTAATGCAGTGCCCATGGTGGCCTGAGTGTCAGATCTCCTGGAGCTAGAGTTAGAAAATGATTGTGAGCTGTCTGACTTGAGTTCTGGGAACCAAACCTAGGTCCTCTAAAAGAGCAGTATGCACTTTTTTTTTAAACTTTTTTTTTTTTTTTTTTTTTTTTTTTTTTTTTTTTTTTTTTTTTGGTTTTTCGAGACAGGGTTTCTCTGTGTAGCTTTGCGCCTTTCCTGGATCTCGAGCTGTAGACCAGGCTGGCCTCGAACTCACAGAGATCCGCCTGGCTCTGCCTCCCGAGTGCTGGGATTAAAGGCGTGCGCCACCACTGCCCGGCCGCAGTATGCACTCTTGACCAGAGCCCTCTCCAGCCTTGTAAGGATTCGTATCCATTTCTATTAGTGTCACTGTGATCAAAATATCTAGAGAAGAATTCTTTGTTTTGGTTCATAATTTCAGAAGGTTCAGACCATCATGGCAGGGCAGATATGGCCATCTGGCGTTCAAGGTTTTTATTCCATCCGGGCCCTAGCCCGTAGGACGTTGCCATCATGCTCAGCTAACGATCTATGAAAATACCCTCACAGACAGAGACATGCTTCAAGTTGGCCATGAAGATTTACCATCACTTCATTCAAAAGAAGCTGCTTACACCTAGTTTTCATTTTTTTTTTCAGATGACTTAAATTTACAAGAGTTTTTAAAACAGGCCTTCTTCTATCAGAGTATGGCTTGAGGTACCCACCTTCTCCATGACAAGACACTTTAGAATGTCACATTCTTGCTCCCACTGGGTCGTGGGGGTGATGGACCCTCAGGCCTGGCTAAGCTTCCAAAGTCCACCCAGTTGACCCAGGATTAGGCTGGGGGTTGGGCCAGGCTCAGGAATGCAAGAGATCTCCCCAGGCCCCCTCACTTCCACTACTACCCCTGCAATATGAGTTCTGTAGAGGGATGACATACTGTGGAGCTCAGGTTGGTGTGGGCCTGGAGACTTCCAGCTTGAGGGCCAGGTAGGAGCTGGAGTGGAGAGAAACTCAAAGGGGACCTGTGGCTTATTCAGGATGTTCTCTTTGGAAAGATGTTAACCAAGCAGACCACCTGCTGCTTTGAGGACCTGCAGCTTAGTTTCAAGATCATGTGTAAGCTGAGGTCTCTGCTGTAGAAGTGTGTGGAGGAAGTAGACAAGAACCTTTCAAGAGAGATGCAAAGCAGAGACTCTGATGAAGGCCCACAAGAGAAAGCAAATGAATGTAGCCAATGAATGGGTTAGCTTGTTCCCACCCAGCACTTAGCAAGCCTAATTATTAGTAATTGTTTGATTATTTTGGTTTTCAAGACAAGGTTTCTCTGTGTAACTTTGGAATCTGTCCTGGAACTCGCTCTGTAAACCAGGCTGCCCTGGAACTCACAGGGATCCCCCAGTCTCTGCCTCCCGAGTGCTGAGATTAAAGGCTGCCCTTCGGCTAGCAAGCCTATTTTTCACTACAGCTTTTGTCTTACTCCCCAGTTCACATTCCAAATAATTAACTGATAAAGTCAGCTTGAAAAGAAGATTGTAGGGGCTGGGGGTGGGGAATCAGAGATCACCATCACTCAAGTGGCCTTCTAATCTGTCATCTTCCTTCCGGCTTATAGAAATCAGGAATGGGCAAGTCTGGAGAGTCAGATGACCTGTGGACAGCATTGAGGCCATATTGAGAGGATTGATTATTGCAAGAGTGCCCACCCAGCTATGACTGAATTTAGACTCCTCAGAAGCCATATATAGCCTTTGCACCTGTGACCCCAACAAGGAGGAATTTGGAATAAAAATCCTTCATCTTCCAACTCAATGGCTTGTTGCTAATAATGGCTTTCCCATCACTTTTGTCTATTGACAAGAGAACACCAGAACAAAATGTGGCACCAGAACAGAACCTTTTACAGTTATGTGATGAGATAACCCACTGCTAAATGTTGGACTTTGCAGATATAAATAAGGTTGCTAATTATTTGACTTCAAAATAAATAAATTACCCTTTATTTTGTCCAAAATACAATTCTCACTTCAAAGGGAATAAGAAGAGAGTTTATTCTGGAGCCAAACATGAGTGACCATGACCCAGAATTCAGGCCACCACCAAGACCATGTTCAACAGTTTCATGAAGACTGTATAGTTACAGAACAACAACAAAATCATCAATGAAGACACTTTTCTAATATATTGGTGGGTACATCAGGTAGGCAGGTTTGAGTAACGCAAAGAAATCTCCGCCGCAGGTTTCAGACACTATCCGATGACATGCATTGCTTTTGGAATGGTGGAAGCTAGGGCTATGATAATAGATTTCTAATAGTTTCACTGATTGCCACAGGATGTAAGGTCTGACAGAGGTGGACACTGAATGGATACTAAGGATGTTAAAGACACCCCTCAAGATTATTTGGTTCTGGATCTACAACATTCCAACTCTCTACAGCAATAACATTGTAACCAATCAAGTAACCTTGTAGAATGTTTAACAAAGGTGTTTTGTTTGTTTGTTTGTTTGTTTTCTGGCATGGCAGAAGCCAGAAAGCATTGAAGTATACAAGGAATTCAACGTTTCAGTTCCTGGTCTGAATATGAAAAGGGAACTGAGAAAGAATGTGGACAGTCTAAATAAACAAAGAACCTCGAGGCTGGTGGCCTGCAAGAAGATGGGGACTTGAGACATACAGCAAGGAGCTGAACTCTCTGGAGCAAAATGAGTGTAGAGGTGGATTCTTCCTCAGAGGCTCCAGACAGGAATGTAGGCCCACAGACAGCTTAAAATTTCAGCCCTGTGGAAACTGTGAAATAAAAAATTTGTATTGTTTGAAGCTAACAAAATGCAGTCATTTGTTATGACAATGAAAGAAAAAAACTTCAGAAAAAAACTACACACACACGTGCATATACACTCATACAGACATGTAAGCTGTAAGTATATGTTTTTTTTTTAATGTTTAAAAAAAGTAGAAAGTGATTGAGGAAGACACCCAGTGTCAACCTCTGGCTACTACATGCATGCACACCTATTTCTATATGCACCAGCATGCATATACACACACATATGAACATCATAAAAAGTAACAGCTGTTTTTTGGTTGGTTGGTTGGTTTTTCCAGACAGGGTTTTTCTGTGTAGCCCTGGCTGTCCTGGAACTCACTCTGTAGACCAGACTGGCATCAAACTCATAGAGATCCACCTGCTTCTTCCTCCTGAGTGCTGGGATTAAAGGCATGGGACACCACTACCCGACCACCTTCCTTTATACATTTATAACAAGTCTTCCTGGATTATTTTGTTATGTAAATTTAGTCAATAAAGGACTGCATGCATGTATGATGGTCGTCTTATAAAGATTACACTGCCTGGTGACTCACAGTCTTTTTAGTTTCTATAGTATGTTCCCCGAAATCCCCTAACAATGTGTGTACCAGAGTATATCCTGCTTTAAGTGATGTAAGACTGTATTAAAGTCTTAGTACTGTCTGAAACAACCAGTCTATCCTCTGGCATGGTCATCTCCCACCCACACTGCTTCTCCCCCTTCCCTTCTCTTTAATTGTGAGAGAGGTTCCATTGGTTATGACTGAATGTCTTTCTTAATTGGAATCTAGAATAAACAACCTTAAACTGGTATCTTTGCTATGGGTTTAAGTCAAATGTTCTTTAGATGTTGTATTATCTTAAGGCAACAATTAACTTTCTGATTAAATCATGAAAAAAATTCACAAAAGCTTGCTTTCAAGGCCAGCCTGGTCTACAAAGCAAGTTCCATGACAGCCAGGGCTACAAAGAGAAACAAACAAAAACAACAACAAAAAAAAACATTTGTGGGAGATGGGCGTGGTGGATCTCTGTGAATTCAAGGCCAGCCTGGTCTACAGAATGAGTTCTGGGACAGCCAGGCTGCTGTTACAAACAGAAACTGTCTTGAAAAACATAACAAACAAACATTTGTGGGTCTAGAGAGATGGCTGGGCAGTTAAGAGCACCTGTTGCTCTTGCAGAGGACCTGGACTTGGTTTCCAGAACCTACTGTCACAATACATACACTGAGGCTTAACACTTAAACACATAAAATGAAACTTTAAAACTTTTTTAAAAAGAACATTTGTGTTTTTCTTATTTCTATATATACCAATTAGAATGGAGCTCCATTAAATTTTAAGAGACTTAGGGTTGGAGAGATGGCTCAGTGGTTAAAAGCCCATACTGCTCTTGCAGTGGACCAAAATTCAGTTTCCAGCACCCACACCAGGCAGCTCATAATCACTTGTAAGACCAAATCCAGGGAATCTGACACCTCTTCTGGCCTTCACAGATGCCTGTACTCATATGAACATACCCACACGGAGACATACACATACATGTAATTAAAAAGTCTTTTAAAAAAATTTAAGGGGCCGGGCGGTGGTGGCGCACGCCTTTAATCCCAGCACTCGGGAGGCAGAGGCAGGCGGATCGCTGTGAGTTCGAGGCCAGCCTGGGCTACCAGGTGAGTTCCAGGAGAGGCGCAAAGCTACACAGAGAAACCCTGTCTCGAAAAACCAAAAAAAAAATAAATAAATAAAATAAAAAATAAAAAATTTAAGGGACCCTATAACAGAATATAAAAGCCTTATTCTGTTAATATGCTCAATTACAGATTTTCAAGTTCAAAACCAATCTTGCATTTCTGAAAAAAGCCATGTTTGGACTTGATGTATTTCGTATGTTTATATACTAATCCTTATATATATATTAAGAACTTTTTACATCTATGTTCAAAAAGAAGTTTTGGTAATGTCACTGTCTGGTTTTATTGTCAGAGTTACTTTGGTATCCTGGTTTGTTGACACAAACCTAGACATTATCTGGGAAGGATATGAGACTGGCCTGTGGGCAAGGCTGTGGGGGCATTTTCTTAATCAGAGGTTGATTTAGAAAGGTCAAGCCCATTCTGGGTGGTGTGCCTCTGAGCAGGTAGTCCTGAGAAGCAAGCCAGTTAGCACTCTTCCATGACTTCTGCTTCAGTTCCTGCTTCCAGGTTGCTGCCTTGAATTCCTGCCCTACCTTTCCTTGGTGATGGAATGACCTGAGAGTTGTAAGATAAACCTTTTTCTCCCTGCTGCTTTTAGTCATGGTGCTTCACCACACATACAGAAACCCTAAAAATGACATGTGGTTTAATAAAACTAGTTGGAAGTTAACTCCTCCACTTTTTTAAGAGCTTTTGTAAAATTGGTGTTATTTCTAAGTATTTAATAGAATTGACTTAAGAATGGGTCTGGCATTTTGTGGGAAGGTTTTCTGTAACAAACTCAATTTCCTTAGCAAGTGTAGAGAATTGCTAGGTAGCTTATAAAAAAAGTTCTTTGGCTGATCAATTTACTGCCTGCCTCAGTTCCCAATTCAGTCTTCAGTCTGAACTCTTTGATGATGGCCAGAGTTCCTCAAAGATTTCTCCCTGCCCTGCAATGACACTGAGGGATTTTCTCAATAGAGGGTACTGGAGGGACACCTGAGGCTTTACTGCAGCCACATGGAAGGCCAGCAATGTTGACATAAGGACATCCAGTAGAGCACTCCTCCATTCATGCATCTAGCACGTGTGGTCCCTTGTGGGCACTTCAACCTAAGAATTTTCCAGTACTCTCTCAATGCAAAACTGGGGTCTTAAAGCCTTCTGCTCCCCTCCTCCACCTTCCAAAGACCTGCTGAGAAACCTGGTACCAATTTCCTCTGCAGGCTGCATATCCACCTGTGGCCTGGAGAATGGCTCTCTGCCTGCCAACAACTAGCCTGAGTAAACCAGCAATATTTTGCCTACTAGGCCTAGTATAGCATCTCCATTGAGGTTTTGAACCTCAGCCTTGTAAAATGGCCTCTTCCCAAGTTTGTCCTTAGAGACCCTTCCCTGAACCACAGTGTGCTATATTTTATCTTACAGTTACTCCAAGATAAGGTTGTAAGACTAACTTTTCAGCTTTCTTGCATGCTCTATGGCTTTTCTTGCCACTTAGATGAGCCAATCTCATCCTACTGTGAGATGTGCTACAGAGGCTCTTCTGGCAAGGAACTGGCAGACTGGGCTCCAAAAAACAGCTAGCAAAAGTCTGAGGCTTTCATTCCAACTGTTCATAAGGAAGGAGATACTGCCAAACATCTTAAGAGTGAACTTGGAAGCTTATCCTTCCACATCTGAGTAATAAGACGATGGCAATGCCAACTAACTTTTGGACTGCAGTTTCTGAAGAGACTCACAGGACCCATTTAAATCACATTCAACTTCCTGACCTACAGAATCTGAGATAGAAGTACTGTTGTGTTACACTGCTGTTTGGGGGGTAATTATTGTGACAATAGAAAACTAATACATGGAAATGACAATTTATCATTTGTGTATCCATTTTCGCAAACTCGATTTTTTTTTTTTTTTTGGTTTTTCAAGACAGGGTTTCTCTGTGTAGCTTTGCGCCTTTCCTGGTACTCGCTTTGGAGACCAGGCTGGCCTCGAACTCACAGAGATCCGCCTGGCTCTGCCTCCCGAGTGCTGGGATTAAAGGCGTGCGCAAACTCGATTTTTAAAAATTTTCTTTTCATGTGTATGGGTTTTTGCCTGCCTATGTGTCTGTACACCATGAGTGCCTGTTGCCTGTGGAGCCCAGAAGACATTAGATCCCCTAGCACTGGAGTTACATAGTTCTGATTTGTCATCTGGGAGCTGGAAACCCAGGTCCTCTCGAAGAGTAGCTAGTGCTCTTAACCACTGAACCATCTCACCAGCCCTGGCAAACTAAATTTTTAAGGAAATTCATCTAAGTTGACACTTCATCATCCTCTTCAGAGGTAGACAGTAAATACCAGCTTATTTACTCACTATTTCAGAAATAAAAACTATATCCACACAAAAGCACTTATACAAATGTTCATAGCAGCTTTATTTGTAATAGAAATTTGAAACAACTTAAATGCCTTTTAATGGATGATGGTTAAACAAACCATGATATATCTATACCATGGCATATTACTCAGCAATATAAAGGAACAAACTATTAATACATGCAGCAACTTGGATGAAGTTCAAGGTAGTTGTGCTCAACTCAGTAAAATAAAATAAAATAAATAAAAAACCAATTTCCGAAGGTTACATATGGTATAATTTCATTTATATAACATCATCACCATGACAAAATTACAGAGATGGAGAACGGATTAATGTCTACCAGGGTTCAGAGTAATTTAAAAAAAAAATGTGAATATAAAGGGAGAAAAGAATGAATGAGAGGAAACAGTTGCTATTTTAGCAATAGGTTTTCCACAAACTTACACTTGAGAAAATTGCATCAGAACCACCCATAAACCCTACTGCATGGGTGGGCATACACAGGTGAATACACAGGAAGCTGAGGAGGGGTAAATAAGGTCTATGGATTGCATATGATGTCAGTTTTCTGGTTCTGATATTGTACTAGCTATGCAAGATACTGCCATGGGACAAACTATGTGAAGGGTACATGGTGATGTCTGTACTTTCTGTAACTTCCTATCAATCTATAAGTATTTCAAAATATAGTTTAAAAAATACTTCAATAGATCTCCATTCTCTTGGACTTAGATACCTATTTTAAACTGCACCTCTTATTACTCTCCATCTGATCCTCATTGAGGTTTGGTTTTGAGAAAATCCTTAAAGACCTAGTCATGAAGCTATCTCATGGGCATCTGAGCTACTTTGTTAAGCATGTTATTTCAACAGGGATTAACTATAAATCTCTCTGAAATTTCATTTCTTCGATGATGCTTCCTTTCCACGCTGAGTATAAAGTTGTACACCTGTGATCTTAGCACTCAGGATTGTGAGTTTAAGGCCAACAGGACTACACAAGACCTACCCCTGTAGTAACTCGTTTCCTCTGCCTGGTTCACCTCTTCATGGCTTTTCTTCTTGCTTCTTCCTATACTCTGAGGTCACTCTGGGGCTTATTCAAGACTGCATGTGACAATTATGTCTGTCCTCAGCAAAACAAGGTTTGTAATCTTTAAACAAATTTCAATCACCTAATAATGTACAGATGTCTAGTGCACTTTTTTGCACAGCAAATCTGGTCAGGCGTTCTTCCCAACTCCAATCTTCAAGCTCATCTCTTTTCCTCCAACCCTGCATGTTGGTCATGTAGTCTACACTTTCTTGCAGTATTGACCCAGTCTCTTTGCTGGTCTATCTCCAGCTTCACCTTTCACATTATTGCCTAAGTATCCTTTCTAAAATCTTAAATCATTCAGCTTATTAATCCAAGATTCTCTTAAGATCGCTTTAGTATGGTATTCAATGACTATCTCCCTCTTCTGGCAGTGTAAACTTGGGCAAATTCTCAAAAGTATCTATATTCCTTTTCTTATCTGGAAATGGTGACAATAATCTATATCGTAACACTTAGAACTCTAGAACATACTAAGTGCTCTGAGAACTGGCTGTTTATATTATTACTCCATGAAGTCCCATTTTTTCAATCACTTTCCACTTACGTGAAAATGGATCCAACTATCATCATCATTACCTTTTTGAGAGACAGAAAGATGGCAGAACTCTGACTCTATTACTTTCTGGTTATGAGATCTTGGCAAATTACATAACCTCTCAAATACAAAATAGGATTAAAATACAAAATAGAGGTAAAGATCACGGGTTCATGAAGGTAACCTGTTACTGATAAAAAATGTTATACAAGATTTAAAGTCTAGCCAGAGGTTGCCTCACAGAGAAGCACCCACTCTGGCTCAACATAGCTACAAATGGCCCCTTTGTATGTAGCTTTCTGAGCTATTCAACTTGGGTCTTTCCCATTTCTACACTCTGAGCTTCTAGGGAAAGAGCTCATTTCATCGACCTATAGTCTTAAAGACCGGCACAGACGGGCATATGACACATCTGCTGGGTGAATAAATAAAGGGACCCAGGGGTCAATGACAATGGTGCTGAGATTCAGCCTTTTTTTTTTTTTAAATTCTGAAGCCTACAGAATGATTTTCATATTTTCATAACACAAGATTTTGTCCTATTTATGAATCTGTCCTATTATCTCCCAAAGATGGTAAACTCAGTATTATTTTTTTTACACCACCTCTCATTTTAAAAGTGCTCTATTTTGAATGAAATGTCAGACAAAATTAAATATTTCAACTTCCTTGGGCCTACTTACTTCCCAATGATATACCAATGAAGTAAGTGATCATTTAAGTCCCTACTTAAGGAGTGTCTTTCCATCTTTAAAAGAAACATCAAGAAAATTAGGACAACTAAAACATACCATAAACTTAACATTAACACTAAGCAAACAACTTTTAAGGTGGACAAATAATTTTATTTTGTGCATGCAAATACATGTCAAGTACTGCAAACTTTTCCATCAATTTTTCTCTCAAACACTGAAAATCATGATGCTCTATTTTGTGAACAGCCAAAGCTAATATCTCTTCACTTCAGTGCTACAGCAAAAACACACAGAATTCACTCTTTGCTATTCACTATCATCACAACCCTCATTGTTCCGTCTCTGCCCACCCCCCACATACAGGCCTTAGAAAGTCCTAGCCTTCCCGCTTTAATCCTATTCCTATAGCACAAAGGGAAACATTACAATTTGGAAATTCAAATTGAAATAAATGGAATAGAATTTATTCCCATATATATTCCCCATTTCATTGTACAGAATTATTTTATAGTTTTAAATAGAAGCTGAGTATATGCCTTAAAAATGAGCATTAAATCCATCTTAGAGATGGTGCCTGCTTTTTACATGATGGGTGTACACCATCTTTAATTTCATTTACATTTCAATCGAACAATAGATTTGCAAAGAAAATGTCTAATACAGACGTAAAAATATTCACACTAAGCTTCACAATCGGTTGTACAATTGACAAACAGGCCTCTTTTCCCAAACTTTCCAGCTAAGCAAATTTATAAAATGTAATCAATGCAACAAGAAAAACATTTTTCTTTCACTTCCAGGGAAAAGAATATGCAATAAACAGTATAAATGCAGACAGCAGTTGCTGCAAGCTAACCACGATACTCCCAAGTGGCTGTACAGTGGGTATGTGCAGTACAAATAAAAGCCACATGTGTTGTATCACAACTACAGTATAATTGTTTGCCCAGCTAAGAGAATGCATGCACTTCCATGCCGTGGGTTATAAAGTGAGGCCTAATTCTTGACAGGTTGATGGAATATGTGCAAATGACCTTGGCTTTTGGCAGTACTAAGTGCAGCCAGTGTCTGTTTTTCACTGGTTTAGGGAATATTTTTAAAATTTAATATAAGAGAAAAAAAATAATCGCCAGTTTCAGACTTGGGGGAATAACTCCCCTTAGAGTAAAAATAACTCTCCACTCAAATGTGGGTGTTCTGATCTGTGGTTTGACTCCTTGTACTCCCTTGCCAGCAAAGGGATACAAAGAAAGAGCCAGTGTAAAGGAGTTACTAGCAAACTTAATCTCTAGAAAACGGGATACTCCTTGAGCATGTTCATTTGTGTTCTGCTTGCAGAAGGGGCCCTTCTGTAGAAGGAGTTACAGTAAGTGATCCCATCAGTACTCTTGATTCACCAAAACACAAAGAAAGTTCTAGGACACTAATACATAGCTGCAATGCAACTTTTCTCTTTAATGATTTGTTACCAATATTGGTGACAGTCTGCTCAGAAAACAACTCAAAGAAATAAGGGAAGAAATACTCAGATTCATAGCTGAAATCATATACTGAATCTGACTGTTACAAGTTCCAACCCTGGCTAAAAAGACAACATGGGCTGTATCACATCTAAAATTCAAAAGTAGGGTATATGGTTTTTAAACAAATTTTTTCAAATGGTTAAATGATCCCATTCAAAAGTCCTACAAATCATTGCATTCTGCAATCTTCTGTATATAAAATCAGGATGTGCTTTGTAACTTAGCATCAACTTGAAATCTGGGTCAAAGTGACTAGGATCCATACAAATGGGAAATTTTATTTTTTTGTACGAGAGGTTTCATTTAATTCTCTTATTAGAGCAAAAAGCTATGAAAGGAGAGAATCAGTGCCACGGGCCTAAAGAGCTACCTTTTTTTGAAAATTACAATGTACAACTGTCCCCACATATACTGGTTTGTTGCATGGCATTGAAATAAGTCATGGTAGCAAAGGCAAGAGAATCTGATTTGTTTAAGTACCAAGTAGAAGGAATACACATAGAACTCTTAGAATTCATAAAATGAAATGACCCCACACAAGACTAATGATGTTATATTCACAGCATCTGAATGTGGCACACTGACTAGGAACTGGACTCAGAAATTGGAAAGAAAAACAGAAACAAAACGTAAGGAAACCCACACCATTTTTCTGCTTTTCAGACTTCAGACTGCTTTTTCCTGGTTACACCCATAGGCAACACATGCAGTTTAGATATCAACATTACAAATTTTCTCTTCTATTGCATTGTAGCCTCTGATCCCAAATGCAAGACAAGCATTACTTTAAGTGTTTGAGACATACCAATAAGGTTGGCAGGTACACATAATGTCTTGATAAAGGGTCAAAGTGATGATTGCCCTCAATTTTAAAAGCCATGTTCTAGGTCTGTTTGTACTATTTTCCTCTATGACATCAGTAGGTACTACTTTGAAGAAAGGTCAGATGAACTGTTCTTTCTTCTCAAGTGGCAGAGATCCAATGGCTTTATTTCACATTAAACCCACCAAAACAGACAGTAGGTTGTCACCACATAAAAGATGCAATACATAATAACATCAACACAGAAACAATTCCTATGTTGTTAGTGAGAAAGAGTAAAAATTGAAGAATAGGGAGTTATTATTTTGTGGGATCATCTGCTGCAAGACAAGCATTACTTTAAGTGTTTGAGACATACCAATAAGGTTGGCAGGTATACATACTGATGCAAATGTAATTTACTGAACAAGTAGGCAAACACCTAAGCATCCCAACCCCTCCAGCAGAGCACAACCACGCTTCAAAATTTCAATTTTAAAATTAAAAAGATAAGGTTAAATACACAAGATCAATTTATGTAGTATATTATCACCCTCAGAAAGTGCTGAAGATGTTTGTCTAGTTCTGTTGCACAGAGGGTTCTTTCCCTGAGGGCACATAAGGAGCTCTCAACTGTTAATAGGTCTCTATTTTGTAACAAAATAGCAATTTTAAAATCTTAAAAAAAAATACATTACCTTCAACATGGAAGATCTCACTATTAAATATCCATGAAAAAGACAGACTGGTTTACATAACCTTTTTGGAATTACAAACAGAAAAAAAAAAAAAAAGACTGGAAGCATTTCAAATGTAATAAGCTCATATTCATAGAAAGGTTCTGATATAAATTATATAACAATCATGTTCCTGTAATATCCTAGGCTAATTTATAATGTCAGAAATAAGTTAATGTAACATGGTTTAAAACTCTTGTTCCTATTCATTTCAGGTTACAGAGTGAAATAAATAAAATGTCTTTGTAGGGATAGGGAGCACTGGCCATGGCAAAAAGGTACAGTACTAACCAAAGGAAACTAAGTCAAGGCTACTGTGCTGTTATGCTACAAACAAACATCTTCATACACTTAAGCATTAAATAAATGTGTAAGATCTTCCATACTGACACCAGAATATCAAAACTACCCCTTTGTTTCTCAGGTATTATTTACAACTTATCAGTCACCTTATGAGCATGTTCATTAAGACAGTTATCAAACACCAGTATTTACTCATTCCAATCAAGAAATTTCAGGGAAATGTCAACCCTCCCACCCCTGGAAATGTGCACAAAACTTTTATCAAAATCTTACAATGCTGTGGTTTTTGTAAAATAACTAAATAGCTCAGACGACCAATAACATGATCCTGTTTAAGCATCTTGCTAGCAGGAGAAGCCCTTACATACAGTACACCTGGTGAAAGATCAGCTTGGCTTAAAATATTCCAGTACAATTTTTAGAGTAAACAACTTCACAGAAGTTAATTAAAAATAATGAAAGTCAAACTAACCTTAAAGAAATAGAGGAAAAACAAAACAAAACAAACAAACAAACAACAACAACAACAAAAAACTATAGGTAAGATTACCACCAGGAAGGAATGCCCAGCTTTTGTTTTCAAAAGTTGACTGAAATTTAAGCTTCAATAAAATACCATCCACAAATCTGAGACATGGCTGGTTGAACATACTGCATATTTTCAGATGCCAAGTGAAAATTTCAGTCACATTATGGCAGGGCGGAAATTATTCATGTTTTTAAGTATGGATAAATGTTAGCCAATGTTCTACTACTACATGGTTCAAAGTCTTATCAACCTAACAGTCAGAAAACAAGGAAAATTAAACCCAACATGAAGTTAACAATAAACAATATCTAACTAAAATAATGCAATGAACACCCAAATTAATTTCTTTAAATTAAAGACCCAGCAATACCATCTTGTTAGTCAGTGCAAACGCTACATACAGGGTTTTCTCAAGAAAGCTGAAAGCACCTGATTCTTTTGCCAAGTCATCAGATTCAATAATGTACAGGCTTAAATCTGCATTTTAAAAAATTGCCATTATATTAGTGCATAATTTATCAAAATTGTAAAAACGATTCTGCATAACTTAGGAGAATTTAATATCTAGTACATCAGCTGAAAGACTTAGGCACTTGGTTATATTTTTAATTAATTACTTCAACAAGTAGCCTGTGTATAAATATTAATAAAGCAGAAACTAGTCTTGAAAATGGAAAATTAAAAAAATTAAATGCTACAGATAAAAGCACTGCACCACACTTCTACATATAATGCAGTAAAGAAAGCTACTATATAACCCTGTAAAACTCTATGGTAAGAACAACTAACTCCACTCTTCAAAAAATGAAAAAGAAAAAAGAAAAGGAAAAGAAAAATCCATGCAAAGTCCAATAAAAAAGATAAATAAAGCAGCTGGAATGAGATGGAAATTTCTCTCAGTGAAACATAAAATAGAAATAAATTAGTTAATTAACTCTACTTTCACTAGATGTATCATTGTAGGATCCTGCTAGTTTAATAACTGAGTTGTTAATTTACTGTAGAAGCCATTTAAAATAGGAAATGGCTCAGTTACTGCACCGGATTGCTACAAACTCATAAAAAGCTGCTTGAAGCTTAAGTTAAATGTTGTCCAAATTCCAATAATTTCTGGAAAGTGAACGTTACCCTAGTAAAGTAAATTTTCTTTTTTTTTTTTTCATAATGCTAATGCAAGAGGGCTTGAAGTATCAAAGAGTCCACAGGAAATGGATGCCCCCAGTAATATCTTTTTTTTAAAAAAAATATACATTATATAATATATATTATATATATAAAAAGCTAGTGTAAATGCTTCCATGGTGTGGTCACAAATTTGAAAGATGAGCCTCCTTTCAGCTGTTAACCATCTTCCCATTTGCAATAGGTTTTAAAAAGTCGTTTTTATCTTCAGACATAACATGAGTTTTCAGAATGAGGTTGCCAGCACTGACAGATGTGGTGATGGGGAGGCAGCCTGCACTGCTAATAGACACTGGGAGTGGCTGGCTAAAGCAAGACGTTACCGGCAGAATTGTTTTTTGCTCCTCCCTGAGAGAAAATAAATGACAGTGAAAGCAAATTAACTTTAAGTGCAAATATTTAAGAGTTATCATATATGCTCTCTAAAAGCTATTTCAAACTTAAAGAAGATAGGCTTTTTCTGTGGGCTCTTAATTAAGAAAAGTATTGAATGGGGGCTAGAGAGATGGCCTCAGCAGTCAAGAGCACTAGCTGCTCTTCCAGAGGATCATTTCAATTCTCAGGTCCCAAATGACAGCTCACAACTGTCTGTGACTCCAGTCCTAGGAGATGCAATGCCCACTCTGGCCTCTCCAGGTACAAAACTTGCACATGGTACACAGACATACATGTAGGCAGAATACCCAGACACATAAAAATTAAAATAATGTTTAAAGTATCAAAAGTCTCTAAAAAGGTCCTATTTTCCACATTTATGATAAAAATTATAATACTGATTAGATGACATATAAATTGTCAAGCTTAAGACCAGGCCCAAATCTCTGGCAGTAATTAAACAAAATGGCAATATAATAGCCAAGAAAATTATAACATGATTCTTAAAACAAGAAACATTTAACATAGTTTTTGCTTGCACTAGTTTTTATGATTTTTTAAAAAAAAGATTTATTTGTTTTATGTGTACAGGTGTTTTGCTTTCCTGTATGTATATGCACCACATGTGTACAAGGGGGTTAGATCCCCTGGAACAGGAATTATGGACGGTCATGAGCCACCATGTAGATGCTGGGAACCAAACCTGAGTCTTATGCAATAGCAACAAGTGCTCTTAACAGCTGAGCCTCTCTCCAGCCTCTTATGGTTTATTTTTTAAAAAGGGTCTTGCTATGGATTCCATGACAGCCTAGAACATGTAGGTAGCCCATTCTGCCTCTGCCTCACAAGTGTTGAAGTTATAGCTGTGTTAATCTAGGAATTAATTTTCCATCTACAAGTTTGGCCAAACTGAAGAAGTATAATCTAGAAACAAGAAAACTTTCATCCCAACAAATAGTTAAGTTTTGGGTTATTAAAATAAACTGCTTTACTAGTTCAAATTTCCCGAAAAATACAGACTGACCAGATCATTACTTTATTAGATAAGGTTTCCCCCAATAGTAAAAAGTCAAAATGAATCTAACACTGCATCGACTTATAGTATTTACACCCTATGCCCCCTGCTTATGAAGGGTCTGTCTAACACTCACAGAGTCACATGGTCTTCACCTAAACTCTGTCTCTTCTGCTTCATTGGGTCCTTCTGCTGCTGCTGCTGGCTGGGATGGCCATTTTCCACTGCTGTTCCATTCAGCAACTGATCATTTTGAGAACTGATACCAAGTTGTATGTCCAGGATTTCCTAAGAAAATAAAATGTTAACCTTTCAATATGACAGTATTTTATGCGTTTTAATTTACAACAGAACAAAGCCAACTAATGATCTAATCGTGGTACTTACTTCAATTTGTTCACTTTGTCCATCAGGTTCATCAGTATCAAGTGCTGAAAGCTCTAACTCAATATCTCTATCGGGTTTTGTATCTACTGTGTCTTCTGTATAATCACTCTGTAAATAAGAAAAATATTAATTTTACACTTGCAGAACCTGGAGTCTCCTTTAAATTAAAATGGGAATCCTAAAGAATTAGTTCAGAAGTCTGAGACTATTATTTCTACTCTAAGTTTTAAAAAGTAATCAATCATTTATCTGGAAAATTCACCAAGACATAGTATATCCCAGTACACAGCCGCAGAAAGCAAATACATTAACATGAAGCCGAGACATCATTCCCTTACCTCTCCATTTCTCAGTTCAATTTCCTTGCTTAGAAGATTTAAAGTAAGGTGACGGCCTTCATCCAGGGAATTCCACTTCTGCTGCATGGCTAGAGCATTAGCTTCCCTCTGAAGAAGTAATGAGTTACTCTTGGCCTCCATGAAGAAAGAGGAAAATATAAACTTAGCTTTCTATTAATATTTTACTTTTTAAAAATCAAAACTAAATAAATAGAGCCTACCTGCTGAAGTTCAATACTCAAAAGGTCTCCAGTACTGGAATGCTTTCTATGGCCAGACAAATCAGTAACAATGAATCTGTCCCTTTAAAAAGAAGTATGTTTATTGTAGTTAAAGTGAGATATAAAGCAACTAAAACATTAATGACTCTATGTTCTTTGAATATGTCTAGTCATCATTCCACAAACGTATGTTTCAGACATTTTTTTATACAGCTCAAATTAGCAGTGTATCTACTGTGGACAACCACATAAAATGTATATATATATAATTTTTTTTTCCAGTTTTTCAAGACAGGGTTTCTCTGTGTAACAGCCCTGGCTGTCTTGAACTCACTATGTACATGTAGACCAAGCTGACTTGGAGTTCACAGAGATCTACTTGTCTCTGCCTCCCAAGTTATGGGATTAAAGGCATTTGCCACTATTGCTCAGCTGGTTTCTGTATTTTAAAATGCATGTAGTTTGAAAGTAAAGACTCTTAAGGAAATGAGAATAAAGTTACCGCTCAATGTAGTGTGCTGATGATGTGGCCTCACTGCCATATGAACTCCACCTTGAATCAACAGCATTGACATAAGGGACATAATCTGTAAGAAACAAAAAGAAACAATTATTAGAAAAGCAGAAAATAAGAATTGGGCATCGGTGGTACATGCCTTTAATCCCAGCACTCGGGAGGCAGAGCCAGGCGGATCTCTGTGAGTTCAAGGCCAGCCTGGTCTACAAAGAGAGATCCAGGACTGCCACAAGTTTGAGGCTAGCTCAGATACAGAGTAAGACCCTGTCTCAAAAAAAATAAAAAGACAAAAGAAATTTTAAAAATCAGTACATAGGTATGAATATACTTTTTAAATGGCTGTGTATTTTTTCCCACTAGCCAAAGGTTTTGTTTAAACCACTTCATTCTCAGTTTAACATGGTTACTAAATGGAATGTTTTCTATCTCACAGGTTAGGAATAATAGTACACGGTATAAATTCTTTGGTATTACTAAAAATGGGTCACCTGATACACTGATGGGCTTAGTTGCACTTCCTTGGGAAGCAGTGGCCTGGACAGGATCTGTTGTATGATAACCTGTTCGGGAGGATCGGGAAATTGCACCCCATTTTGAGATAATGGGTCCATCACTAAAGGGAATAATTGGGTCTTCTTCTTTTGTCCTTCTCTGAGTTTCAAATAAATGAACTCTTCTCTTAACATCCCCACTGTCCAGGTCCTGAAGAAACCAAAGATATCAGTCAAAGAGCTGCTGGTGATTACTGTAGATTAATGAGAAAGCATGTTCTTAAAAGACACATAATTAGGCTTTTCTGGTCAATTTTACACTAATTATGGATCTCAATGGTATGTAACAACCATATTAAAACTACCAAACTATTATCAAATCAAACATTCCATGAAATTTGTTTTAATTTGTTAAAATATTACCCTGTACTTACAGATAAGTTATACCGTCAGAATATAAAAGACTAAAGCCTTCATTTTAAAACTTGAGACATCAACATCATCTTCCCTACCTCCAAAGCCCCCTTTTCCCCAATCAAGCAAAATCATACCATTAACACAGCATTTGAATTAGCAATTACGTCTTTGGGCTCTGAATCAATGGCATTTATACAAGAGCCTATGGTGCCACAAGACCAGGGAGAGTAATGGGAAAGATGGTCCTCCTCAAATTTTGTGCCACTCACACTCTCAGAGAACTGAGAAGGAAAAAAAAAGTCAAATTAGTATAAAACCTAACTTTACAAGCTTGTAACTAACACTGAATATTAAACAATTAAAGGATCATATCGTTAATAATTAAACTCGTTCCATTACTAACATAAAAGCTGGGATGATGGCTCACTTCCATAATAACTATCATTTGGTGACCTGAGGCAGAACTACATGTAGTTCAAGGTTAACCTGGGCTATATATTGAGTTCCACAGCAGCCTGGCTATGTGGAGCAGAACCTTCTCTCAAATGGAATAAAACAAACAAACAAACAAATAAATGAATCGGCTCTAAGCAATAATATTCATATAATAGAAAATGCAAAACCTTCTTTTCCTTTGTCTTGTAAGTTATTTAATCTCTATCTTCTTTCACTTTTGTCCTATTAAGTGATCTTTAAATTTTTTAAAAAAATACTTAAATTTCATTTTCATTATTTACTTATTTAGTATGCATGTACACAGATACCGTAATTTGTGAATAGAAGCCAGAGGACAACTTGTGGGAGTTGTTTCTCTCCCTCCACCATGTGGGTTGCAGGAATCAAACCGAAAGTATCAGGCTTCACAGTAAGCAGCCCTACCTACTAAGCTGTCTTACTGCCTCAGTCCTTTAACTGCTCTTACAAAACTCCTGACCAACACTATCAAAATCATTTAATAATAACACACTAACATGGTATATAATGCTTGCAAAAAAAACAGAAAAAAGAAAAAAGAAAAACATAGATAGCTCACAGTCCATGTCTTAGAGCAGTCTGTAATTTCTTTGAAATAAAATTATGTAGCAAATGAACATATTAAATCATGCAGCATTAACTAGTAAAAGGAATTCAAAGGCAGCACTGAAGCTAGAAAAGGAAAAGAACAGATATGAAAGGAAATGTAAGGCACTATAGTAATACTGCCAGGACACTAAAGTTGTAAGAATCATAAAATCTACTTGACTAATTAAAGAGACAGGGAAACTGAGGAACAGAAAAGTTAAACATGAGTAATGCTATTTGCCAAAAGTTGATCTGAATCTCAGAGAAATACTTATTTCTTAAAGTACATTGTATAAAAAAAAAAAATGAAAATATGGGCCAGGCAGTGGTGGCACACACCTTTAATGCCAGCACTTGGGAGGCAGAGGCAAGTGGATGGAGCTCCATGTCCAAGGCCACCCCGGTCTACAGAACTAGTTCCAGGACAGCCATGACAACACAGAGAAACACTAACTCAAAAAAAAAAAAAAAAGAAAATATAAATGACATCACTAACAATCATTGCCAAGATGTTTACTTGTTCTGAGGCAGTCTCAGTTTAGTGAGATGAATATGGATAGGTTAAAAATGTAGTGCTCTCTATGAAATACTCCTGAATAGAACTCTTTATCAAATTTGGGTGTTATAACTCATTTTTACACACCCAGCACTAGAAAGGCTGATTCAGGAGAATTGCTGAGGCCTAGGCTACCTAGTGAAACACTGTCTCAACAAACAAAACTAGGGGATAGTGAAATGGCTCAACAGTTGAATGTGTTTGCTGCTATTCCAGAGTTTGGTTCCCATCACCCACACTGAGCAGCTAATAACCTCCTTTAACTCCTGCTCCAGGGAATCCAGTGCCCTCTCCTGGCCTCTATGGGCCTCTGTACATGTGGCATATACTCAGACAAGACAGACAGGCAGGCAGACAGACAGACAGACAGACAGACAGACAGACACACACACACACACACACACACACACACACACACAGATTTTAAAAAGGAAAAGTAAATTAAAAAACAAAACAAAACCCCACAAATTTAATTAAAAAGATTATGTATGCATAGATAGGGCTATGCCAAAATAATCCAGTGGCAAGAAGTACAAATGAAACTAATTTGACCAAACTATTATGAAACTGATATAATTATATGCAATTATTGTGAGTCTTTACATTTTTTGTATGTCTGAAACTTTTCGTAACAAAAAAGATTAAAAAAAAATTTTTTGGGGGGGGTTGTACCAGAAACACTGGGAGTGAGGAACAAACCAGAGTATGCGAAAAAATTTTTTTTCACTGGGTGATGGTGGTGTACACCTTTAGTCCAGCACTGGGGAGGCAGAGGCAGGTGGATCTCTGTGAGTTTGATGCCAGCCTGGTCTACAGAACAAGTTCCAGGACAGGCAGAGTTGTTACAACAAAGAAACCCTATCTGAAAAACACAGAAAGAAAAAAAATAAAATTTTTGTCTAAATATTCTATATATAGAGAAATAACACACACACACAAAAAAAAACATAGAATACAAAAGGCAAGGAGAATGGAAATCGCCTGTCATAGACTTGTTTTGTAATAACAAGAATAATTAACAGAGATACAAATAGCAGAAATAATACAGCAGGCATTTCTGCACTTCTTGTGAAACAGAAAAAAAAAATTAGGAATCAAACTTTATCTATTTATAAACCGAAAGATCTTTGTACAAATTATTTAACCTCTCCTGGTTATAACCTATGAAATGGGGACAATACCTGCCCTCTGAGTTTTTCATGATAATTAAATAAATTAGCATTTTTTTTTTGTTGTTTTTTTTTTTTGGTTTTTCGAGACAGGGTTTCTCTGTGTAGCTTTGCGCCTTTCCTGGGACTCGCTTGGTAGCCCAGGCTGGCCTCGAACTCACAGAGATCCGCCTGGCTCTGCCTCCCGAGTGCTGGGATTAAAGGCGTGCGCCACCACCACCACCCGGCCTAAAATAGCATTTTTTAAGTCGCATGCACCAATCAGGGGTTAGGGTGAAGTTCAGTGGTACAGAATGTGCAAAGTTCTTGGTTTGGACCTAGCCCAAAACACAACAGCCAAAAAACATAAGAATAAAAATATAAAGTATTAGGTCTACTGCTGCAAAGCTTTTGAAATCCTGGTAAAGGACTCTTAGAATGAGAATCTCCTCACCTAGCCATAGTTTACACACTGTTTACTGAGGTAAATTTGACTCCATAGAAAACCATTCCAAAATATCCAAAATAGTTGACCCTAGTTTAAAGTCAGCTGTTTGACCATTCGTGATTAATAAACAGTTAAAACCTTTCTTACATCTGTTCGGAAGTCTACACTGAATAGAGGAGAAGGTGGTGTTGGTGACTGTGTTGCCACAGGAAGCGTTGAAGAGACAGGTGCTTTCTGGGTATGGTACTGTGCCCACTGATCTGGTTTTCTTCTTATCTGTTCCTCACAAGTGGTCTTCAAATGACCACAAGGCTCCTAAGAGGGACAAAAGAAAAAAATTTGGTCACTTGTAGAGTGGTAAATAAACTGAACTAAGTTCTGTGAGAATAAGGTAAAAAGCTTCATGTTGTTGGGACGCACACACATACACAAAGAGCAGAGAAACTGCCTCAGCACCCTAGTGTTCTCTCCATATACTCAAACAAAAAGGTTAACATATGTTCAGCTGATGTCAAATATAATGTGAGCACTCATTTTTCTACTTTAGAAGTTGTTTGTTTATATGTGAAACTACTGAAAAGAGGCCTTCTCCTTATATCTTCAGGACTGTTTAGAAACTTCTCTATCAGTTCCTAGCTGAATGTAACTTTTTTTGAACACTGGTATGTATGAAGTCCAGTTCTAAGAGCTTTTATTTTTTTAATTAATTCTCACAACAGCCTTATGAGTAGGCACTACTCTTATTTCCATTAAACATGAAAAACACAAAAGCTGAGCCATACAAAGGTCAAGTAACTTCTCTAAATCACACAGTTAGTGAGAGTCGGCTTGGTTTGACTCAAGACACAAGATCTCAACTAACACATGACAGTAACATTTCTATGTTTAACATTATTTACCCTTGGTAAAGGCACAGTCGTCCTTGGCTCATTTGGTGGCTGACAAGCCACTGAATAATATCCATCTAATGAGTTGTATCTTTCCCGTAAAGATGTCTGATAGACAGATGAGTGCATCACATCCATTGGAGGTAAAGAATTGCTTCTAATAATATCATCTCGTTGGTACATAGCTGGGCGCCAGATGCGCCTGCTGTCATACACAGGAGCATACATTCCAGAAGGTACTGGGGGAACTGGTCCATACTGCTGCGGAGGAGGAGGCTGGTAAGGAGAAGAATTCATTCGGTCTCGAGGGGAAAATGTACTGTAATGATCGGCATATGGCATGGAAGCAGGTGGGAGGGAGGACTCTGGAACATTATTGGACCTCACAAAGCGAGGAACACAAGGAGTCACACCAGCTGGTACCGTTGGAGGTGGTGGGTAGTATCCTTGAAAATTGGAAAGAGGAATATTCAATGTAACATCTTAGTAAAAACCAACATTTTATAATGGTTCAAGTCTAAAGCAGCTCTGATTGTGGGAACATACAATCAATGTTGACCTTTACCTTGATATAGAAACTGCATTATTATCAAGATACCATTATACTAATATCAACATTCAATACTGTTAAAACTATTCCTTAAAATCAAAACACAGAGCTGGTGGCAGATGGCAGACTGATTCCTGTTTAATGAATTTGCGCTCTCTCTCTCTCTCTCTCTCTCTCAAAGGTTTTTCAAGACAGGGTTTCTCTGTACACTGGCTGTCCTGGAACTCACTTTGTAGACCAGGCTAGCCTCAAACTCACAAAGCTCCCTTCACCTGCCTCTCTGCCTCCCAACTGCTGGGATCAAAGATGTGTGCCACCACTGCCCAGCCTGTTAAATGAATCTTTTGCATGAGGTTTCTATTTCTAAGTAAGTAATTAGTTATATCACTGGCTCTTATTAAGCATTTGGGTAGAGAGGTTAAAGATCTATTTCAGAATTCATTACTCATTTTCTTTTCAAATTGTACCAAAAAAAAAGATGTGGTAGCACGCTCCTTTGATTCCAGCATTCGTGAGGCAGAACTCTGAGTTTGAGGCCAGCTTGGTCTAAGAGTTTCAGACCAGCCAGGGCTACACATAGTTAGACTCAGCCTCAAGAATAAATAAAAATAAAAAAAAAAGCAGGGTTGTAGAGATGGCTCAGTGGTTAAGAGCACTTGTTGTTCCTGAGAAGGACCTGGGTTCAGTTTCCAGCACCCACAGAGCAGCTCACAACCACTGGTAACCCCAGCTCCATGTATACATATATGCAGGGAAACGCTCATATACGTAAGAGTAAAAGTAAGTCTTCTTTTAACAAAGCACAAAAACATATTTTACATACCATTTCATTGAGTTAATTCATGGACTCTATATTTGATTCTTAAAAATGACAACTATAAGTATCTAGGTAGGAGAATGAAAGACTCTTATCTCTAACCAGTTATAAAAATTCTGCATAGATTAACGATTTCTAGGCATCACCTGGAATATAAACCTACTAGAAGAAATCATGAGAGATGCTTCAAGGTACTAGAACAAGCAAGAATTTTTTTGGAAAGACCCCAAAAGTACAAAAAACAAAGGCAAATCAGGTAAGTGGAACTGTATCAAACAATAAAACTCACAGGAAAAAAAAAAACAGACTAGAGGCAACCTACAGCATGATAGAAAGTATTTGCAAGCTACATAAATGATAAATGCAATAAAAAACAAAGCAACTTGATAAATATAAGCAGGATATCGAAAATAAACATTTGTCAAAGATATCCAAATGGCAAACTAGTATAATAAAAATGCTTAACATCAGTAATATTTTAGAATATACAAATAAAAACCAAAATGAAGTATCATCTCACTCCAGTACAAATGGCTATTATTTTAAAAAAAAAAAAAAAAAAGTCAGGACAGCAATATGGCTCAGTTGTTAAGAGCACCTACCATGCAGACCAAAACTCAATCTGAGCTTACTCCCACATCACTCCCCAAACGCACATGGTAGAAATAGAGGACTACCATATGTGCACTGTAGCATGAATGTTCCCCCTTTATTACATGCCCCCACCCACACAAAATACTAAAGATATCAAGGATTGACAAGGATGTATAGCAATACAAATCCCTGTATACTACTGGTGGGAATGTAGAAAACATATGCATCTAGGTATATGAATGGTTCAAATGTTAATGTAAATGTTAATGCAAATGAAAATGAGTAATAGCCTTGGTTGGTTTGGTTTGTCTGTTCTGAGAAAGGGTCTCATGTAGTATAAGCTGGCCTTGAACTCACTATGTTATCTGGCTTTGACTTCTTGATTCTCCCTGCCACCATCTACCAAGTGATAGAATTACTAACTAGAAGGAAAGATTTCTTAGAACAGGAAGAAAACTTATGGATCAGAATGGAATTAATCTGTTACTGTAGATAATCTAGAAACTCATTTATTTAGGGTAATAAATACATATGGTTTGCTTCTTTGTTCTTAGAACTGACTAAAATTACTTACCTGTTTGTGGGTATTGTGGGACTTCAAAGGGTATCTGAGTCCTTGGATCTTGAAAATACTGAATGCTTTCAGAATGTTGAGGATATACTGGAACTCTAGTTAGAAACGGGCTGGATTTCGGAGGCACAGAGCTCAGCTCTGTTCCAAAATTAGAGGGCCCAGCGGAGGTAGCTGCTGCGTTACTTACAGGAGTCTTGGGTGGAGAACCAATTTTACTGGAGAGAAAAATCAAAGGATGAGCAAAGGATAACTCACTATGATTGCTAAGTCTTCCTCAGAGAAATTTCTCATAAAATTGTAATGCAAAACTATCAACAGAAAACATGTCAGGTATTTTGACAGGGGCAAATACATTTGGCAAGAAATTTCACTGCCTCCTCACACTGTAACTCACAAGCCCATATAGTAACAGTTCTCATGTTCTGATGAGGCTAACAGTATATAAAAATAAATTCCACTAAAGTGGCTTTTCAGCTGACTCTGACTCATTCTTTAAAGATTTTTCCTGTTGGGGGGGGGAATCCAAAAATTCTGCTCAATAAGTTTAAAAAGTAAACAATAAAGTCTATCAGAAGAAGTTTTTGGGGCAAAGTAGACATAGTAAAAAATAATTTGATTAGCTAAAATGTAATATAAAAAAAAGCCCATTTTTGTTTGTTACCTCTATGTGTGTGACATCAAGACAACAGTTCCTGGCTTGGAGTAGGCACTCAGTAAACATTTGCTGGACAAATAAATATAAAATTCTAGCACAAAGTGAGTACTTAATATGTGTTGGGTGGATGTAATGCCAATTAATTTGTTTTAATACAAAAGGATTTTCTTGGTTGAATAAGCAAGTACTCAGCACTAGAGAATATTATCATGATATTTTTGTTCCCTTTCAAAAAAAGCTTTAAGAACTCTGCCAGGTGATGGTGGCACACAACTTCAATCCCTGCACTCAGGAGACAGAGGCAGGTGGATCTCAGTGAATTCAAGGAGAGCCTGGTCTACAGAGCGAGATCCAGGACAGGCACCAAAACTACACAGAGAAACCCTGTCTCGAAAACAAACAAACAAACAAGCCCTAGAAAGAGCTTTAAATATGTTTTGTAGGAATTCAATATATTACATCCCAATCACATTAAGAAGCTTTTTTCCAGCCAGGCGGTGGTGGCGCATGCCTTTAATCCCAGCACTCAAGAGGCCTCTCACAACACCTCTCCTTAAAGAACTGAGCATACATATTCCTGTGTTCCAATAATACAAAGCCTTTCCAAGTTTATCATACAGAATCTATTACATATCTAACACCCAAACTACACTAGAAGACTCTTAAAGGGAGGGGCTATATCTAGTTCATTTTCATTAAGGACATCAGTGTGTCATGTGTTAGGTAATCCATATATTTAAACGAATAAGTAGTTTTCTTATATCTTAAAATTTTTTTTATTACATCTCATTTACTCATGTGTTCACGTATGCATGTGTACACACACAGAGAAGTCAGAACAACCTGTAGTACATTCTCTCCTTACAGCACTGTAGGTCCCTGGGGACTGAACACCAGTTGTCAAGCTTGGCAGAAGGTGCTTTTCCTTTGCAATCCATCTAGATAACCCTTACAAATTTTCTTTTTTATATCTAATCACTTATATGGTGTGCTTGTGTGTATTCATTGGCATGCACCTGACAAAACAGTATATATGAAGAACAGGAGGATAAGTTTTAGGGAGTCCCTTCGCTGCTTCCACTATATGGTTTCAGGGGACTGAACTCAGGTCATCCATCAGGCTAGGAAGCAAGGGCCTTTATCAATACATTGAATCACTGCACCAGCCCTGTCTGTTTCTTATGTGGTAGAGCAGGTGTCTAAAATATAGAAGGACCTGGGCTTGAGTCCCAGACCAAAGGAAAAAAGAAAGTTAAGAACTCGAACTATAATTCATGGTTTTGAGGTATGTATCACTGGCTTTCAATATAAGATTTCCAACTATCTAAACAGAGGCCTGAACCCATCAGCATTCACTCCTTATGTCCATTCTTAGCTCCAACAGTGACTACTGCACGTCTTTCTCTCTAGTGAACTGCAAATGGCATTCTACACCTGGCTCCTTTCAGTCAGCGTTAAGTTTTTTTCTTCTCTCTTGAAAGTGGATTTAAAAGTGGGACCTTGTACATGTTGGCAAGCATGCCACGACTAACCTATATATGGGGGAAGGGGGAGGAATTGACAAGGTCTTACTAATTTGTTCAAGCTGGCCTTGAATTTCTTCTGTATCCTAGGCTCGCCTTGATCTTGGGATTCTAATAACTCAACCTACTAAGTGCCTAAGACTACATACCTGCACCACCAGGCCTGGTGTAGCATATTTCTAAGGTTGATCAACATGTGACACATAATAGTACCTTACTAATTTTTCATGGCTGAATAACAGAACCCATTGTTATGAATATAAGTTTTGTAATGTTACCTTGCCAAAATCTTCAGTATTCTATTTTCCAAACACATAGCATAAGGTTTTTATAGCCTCATAAGGTTTCCATAGCCTCATAACAATCAATTTACCGTAAGTTTATTTTACGTATCAGTCAGTAACATAAACATTCAGATATATAAATGAGTGTATGGTGCTAGGGACCAAACCAAGGACACTGTGCATGCAAGCAAGCACTTTACCATTGAGCTAGATCTCCAGCACAAACATTCAGTTCTCTAAGGCTAGCCCTAACATTTCACATATTTACCAACAAACTTACACCATACTTTCTTTTTCCCCCTCAAAACTTTTATCCTACATTAGGAACATGGAATATTCCTATCCTTTAACTAATATGCTTCATTTGTGTAAATGCTGCATCTACACCTATAGCACTGAGTCCTTTAAAAGCAGAGAAGTCTATTTTTCAGGTATTTCTAACTGCCAGTGACAAAGCTTGGAACGAAGTAGTCAATATTTTTGATGTGTCGTCTCTCAAATACATAAAGATCATTCTGTTAATAAAGAATTTCCCCCACTATATACTGAACTAGAAAAGTTGAAAATAGTACATTTAACTTATATTGTCTCCATGACATGAAGTCAGTACAGGTTTCCTGTGTGCCAAGCATGATGCTTTTTTCCACAGCAGGCATATACTAGTACTGACAAACTTACTCAAGGGCAATGAAATCTGAAAATGCTTTAACTTCAATTTTTAAACTTCAAAATATGAGATTCCAAAACTGTTAGTAACTTCCAATTATTTGAAAGTTTCAACACTTTTCATAGGAAAAAAAATCCCTTTATTAAAAGAAATCTTACGTCTATAGCCAACAACAATAATGGTAGTAAAAATAAAGCAGATATTACTGAGTGGCTACTAACGGATAAGTACTGTTCAAAATACAATACAGCATTAACTCATTTAAGTTTCACAATCAATATATGAAGTTCTTGACCACTGAGCTGCACACCTAAGCCCATAAAGAAGATATGGTACTTTTATGAATAATTGGAGGCAGACTGATAAACAACTGGCTTAATATCCAATAGTAGGAAAAAGTGAGCCATAATGTGAGCCCAAAGAGTCTGCCCTTAAATACATTACAGAGAAGCAGTGGAAGCTGACAGAAACAGGGCTAGATATTCAACCTTTTTACTCGTTTAGATTTCTATTTAGCATTTAGATTTCTATTTAGCATCTCTATGAAATTAATACTGACACTCAAGAAAAAAAGGTATGGAAACCCTAATTCTGGTCCAAATTCACCAATATAGTTGAAGAAAACAAAACTCAAGAGTTAGTGACTTTGCAAATTTGTGGATCTATTTAAATGCCTAGTGAAGATTAGAACTCATATTTCTGCTAAGTGGTGGTGGCACAAGCCTTTAATCCCAGCACTCAGGAGGCAGAGAGGCAGGTAGTTCACTGAGTTCGAGGCCAGCCTGGTCTACAGAGTGAGCTCCAAGACAGCAAAAGCTATACAGAGAAACCCTATCTTAAAAGACCAAAGGGAGAAGAAAAAACCCTTAAATTTCTTGGTATTTAGCATTCTTTCTCCCTTATTTCATGAATAATTGTGCATAAAAACTTCAAGTATTATACCTCAGGATGAAGAAAATGAGGTCATTTCTAAAGGGACAAAGAATCCTACCATTTTCACCAACACCTACTTTTCAGAGACAGACTCTGCAGAGGGCCCAGCAGTATTCTGGCCACTAGTGCCAACTTTCCCAACTTTCTTCACAGTCTCCAGAGTCCTCAGTGCACTGTCAGTGCTTCGTGGGATTAGCTGGGAAACACTGCTTTCTGCATTTGAAATTCCATTTGTACTTGGAACAATTTTCCCAGGTGTTTCAGTACTTCCTATAACAGGAATGCCATTTCCAGCTGTGGTTGTGACAGTACTGTTTACACCAACTTTATTCAGAAGAGGAAACGTTCTTACAGTTGCACTCATCTTTTTGTTCCTTAATCGGTACCTGTTTAAAAATAATCAACATATTTGTAATACTGTTACCAATTTTAATCTGAAAATACAAAAAGAAAATATTCTTTAAAAAGGAAATAGCTTTGAAAAGTTTCTTCGGCTAAATAACACTTCTCCATGTTACATATATATGTAACATACATGCAAATACAGGCACATAATTAATATAGCAGGCAAAGTACACATGCACTCTAAGCTTTCTGAAAGAGTGGGGTTTGAAAATCTTCTATTTTTATGTGGTACCAAAAAAGTACCAAATTCTGAAAGTAACAGAACAAACAGAAAAGGATTCAAGAGTTGAACACATGCTCTGCTGTTATTAAATTATACAAGCAGAGTGTAATTTTAAAGAAATAAAAACTCAAACTCACTTTAAACTTTACACCAAAATATAGAAATTCTATATTATTCCCAAATGAGTTTATGTCCAAAGAGTATTTAGATCACAGATTTTTCTGATATTAGTTTATTTATGGAGACTGGATATAATGCTGTAATACACGAAGCAATTTGATTTTGGATTTCATATAAAAATATTTCCATTTGTATATCAAAAACTTCATTCTAGGACTGGAGAGATGGTTGAAGGGTTAAGATCATGGGTTGCTTTTTCAAAAGACCTAGCTTTAGTTCCCAGGACCCATATGGCACCTCACAACGGTAACCCCAGTTCCTGGAGATCCAATGCCCTCTTCTGGCCTCTGCAGGCACTGCATGCATGTGGTACACAGTATATGCAAGCAAACACTTAAAACACCTAAAATCATTATTTAAAAAATTTATAAAATTCTCATTATGACACAGTCTTAGTCCTGGTCCTTACTTCCTATAATATTCTCTTAGTATTTCTAAGTGATCAACATAATGAAAACTATTTGGGATCACTATGTTTAAATTACTCTATTACTATTACTCCAACATGGTGATTATGATGAATAATGCTTGTATAATATTTTCTCCTTTAGTTCTTCAGCATCTACAAAAAGCTCTATTTCAACTGTTTCTCTATGTCTGTTCTCACACAGACCATTAGAAGAAAAAAATTCAATAAAAGATGAGTGCCCAGAGATAAGACTGGATAATGGAGGAATAGAATAAAACAACAAAAATAAAATGCAGAAAGCCAACAATCCTTATAGTGACTAGATCACACACCATATAGACACAGGGGTCCGGGGCCCAATGATTACTTCTTGAAGGAGGAGGAGGAATATAAGCAGACTTATACTTCAGAAAGCAAACTGCTACCACCAAGGGGTAAGGAATTCCTGTTATCTTTAATATGTTCTCTGAAATGTCTTCATTTTACTCTTCAAAGTTCTTAAAGAAAATGGCCAGCTACTCCTTGCTTTCCAACTTCAAAAGTCAAGTACATATCCTCTCTCTTTAAAATTTATGTCTGTCTGAGTATATACACAAATGTGTGTGAGTGTACCTGTGCTCATGTCTCAGCGAGACTGTTAGTCAGCAAGCCTGAGTCATACTCCTATCACTTCTGACTCTCCTTTGACGCTAGGGTACAGGCAACTGTGGGGATACCTAGCTTGTCACACTGCTGCTGAGATCCAAACATTGGTCCTCATGATTGTGGAACAAGTGCTTTCAACCAATAATCCATCTTTCCAGCCCTATAAGTCCATATTCTTAAGGTTGTTCAAACAAGCAATAAACAAAATTTTGTTTGAGACTCTAAAAAGAGGGAGAAGTAAAATCCTAACAAAATGCATTGAATCAGGAAAGAGAAGGTGTATGCACTGTCTCCTGGTCACAAAAGCCATGGACTAAACCTCCCATTTGAAACAGCCAATTCTTGTAAATCACCCATGAGCACCTTCAAGCACTGCCTCTCTCATTTTACACTCTACTACCAGCCACGCCAACTCCCTTTTAAGTACCTTTGACTCCCTAGTTATAGGCTGTATAGGGAATTGTCCCCCTCACAGAACTTACTTGACAAAATCTAGCTCAATTACTCTGTAATTATTCACAAACAAGTAGCTAAATGTTGAGGGAGGAGGGGTGCACAATCATGTTGTAAAGACCTTCAAAATTTGAGAATTTATTTAAAATCACTAAGCAATTCATTGATGTACTTCTTTCCTAACTTTATTTTCTCATCTTTAATAGTCTTTCTTTCCACAGCTCCCCTAAACTGGACAATACTGCTTCCTTGTTAATAGAGAAAATACAACACAAAAGAACTATCACCAATTCCACTAATTTCCTGCACCTATAACAGTATATTCTTCATAATACAAAGAGCAGAGTTCCAGTTCCTAAAGTCAATTTACTTGTGCTCCAGGCCTCAAAGCCTATCTGCCTTCTCAAAGACCCCACTCCTGTAAGTATTTTTATTTCTCCTTTGCATTGTAACTTCAGGCAGGTGTCTGTTTAAATGTCATATCCTCTGATAACTGTTAACAGACTATCTATTTATTTGTTGCATATGTTAGTGTCTAATGTAAGCTATCTAGGACAGGGATTTTTGTCTTTCCTACATGCCTAATATTATCAATATATATTAGTGCCTTGTACATACCAGATATTCCAAGACACATTTGCTCCCTTGAATGAATTCTCGGCTTCAAATTTTGTATGGCCAAGAAAACAACCAAATTCTCTGTGCTAATGCTTGCTCCATTTAAGTAAAAGTTACAATTCAGTAATATAGGGTAGAAAATTTGAAGCCACTGTTGATTCCTTTTATTTTATTATTTTTTTAAATTAGTGGCTCCTGTGTTAAAAAAAAATTTGTGTGTGTGTGTGTGTGTGTGTATGTGTGTCTATACACATGTGTGCAGATGCTCGCAGAAGTCAGAAGATGGTGTTGAATCCCCTGGAGCTGGAGTTACAGGTGGTTGTGACATGGGTGCTGGGAACTGAACTCAGGTCTTTTGGAAGAATAGCAAGTGCTCTTAACTGCTGAGCCATCTCTCCAGCCTTTTTCTTTTTAAAAAATAACATACAGTTAATATATTCATCGTTTCAGCTCCACTTTCAAAATAAAACCTAATGACCATTTTTCATCATTCTTATTACTACAGTATCAAGACTTCTATTTCCAATCCTGCACCTGGACCACTGTAGAAGTTAAACTAGCTTCCAAGTATATAGATGTCAGAGTTACATTTCTCATTCCAAATGAATAAAGCTCTGCAGTAGCTTTCTATTGTGACCAGAATACAATACAATTTTTTTTACTTGTGGCCACTAAATGACTGAAATTGCTTATCTGTATGTTTACTGTTCCTCTTAAATCATTAAAAGCACCTCAGATGATATTGAGCATATAACAATCTATTATAAATACATCTTGAATTGACTGATCTTGGGTTTTTTTCTGTTTCTCAGATGGCAGTTTGGGGGATTATTTTTTGTTTTCCTTTCAGACAGGATCTCTAGCCTTGCTGGCTTAATTTGCTATACAGACCAGGCTTGTCTCCAACTCACAGAGATCCACCTGTGTCTGTCTCCCAAGTGTTGAGATTAAAGGTAAGTGCTAACATATCAAGCTACAAGGCTGTTTCTTAAAACAGAAACAAAAAGACTGTTGGATGTCAACATTTTGTTTGGTTTGGCTAAACAAAATTTGCAAGACTGGTTTCAGTAAGTGATTGTGTATTTAAATATTAAAGCAGAGAGTTGAGCATGCACACACATACATGGACATGGAACCCCCACAAACATACAAATATACATATGCACATAAACATAATTACACACACACATACAAATCTCAATGAGGCAGCAACATATAATTTTAAAGACAATGTGATACAGTAACATTGATTCTTTTTCTAACCCCTTTTTGGTTTTTTTTTTTTTTTGAAGAGCAATATAAAAAAATGAGGCTAACTGGAAATATGGAACAAACTGTAGATTATCTGGTCCTTCACTGAAAACACTGAATTTACATATGAAATATTGGCTAGGTACAAGAAAGATAAAAATGAACAATCCAAGAGATAAATGAGGTTCAATGAAAACATACAGGCAAATGAATAATTAGGAAAAAGCAAGTTTACAACTATTAGGGATAGTAACTCTATAAGGAACATCACTATGATTTCAATGTGTTCTTCAAGTTCAAGGTCAGAATCTTAATCCTCAATGGAAATTTGAAGAGGTAAGACGCCCCCTCTCCTCCGCAAATGATTTGGTCATGAGAGCCAATATGGTAGGGACATTTTCTCAATTGAGGTTTTCTCTTTTCAAATGACTCCAGTTTGGGTCAAATTGACAAAAATCTAAGTAGGACAATGGCTTAATGTCATTACCATGAGAATGGGCTCCTGACAAAAGGGGGAGAGCTCAGTCCCATTTTCTCTTTTCTTCTCTCTTCCTTGCGTATTTTTTGCCCTTCTACCTAGGATGATACTGTAAGGTTCTCACCAGACATGGCCCTTCATTCTTGGGCTTCCCAATCTATAGAACAGTAAACCAAATACATTTTCTACATTATAAACTATCCACGGGGGTTTCTGTTGTAGCAGCAGTAAACTAACACAAGTGCTTTAGCAGCATGCTGACAGAAGGAGCCAAAACTGGTCAGGCAAGTTGGGGACACCTACAGAAGCAAGATGACACCAGAGTATGATTAAACACAGACAGAAAGAAAAATGTACAAGACAAAAGGGTAAACAAAAGCATATAGTTGGGTGACGGATAGCACTGTCAACTTTGCAGGACCTAAAATCACCAAGGAGACAAGCTTCTGGGTATATCTGTGATAATTTTCTTAACTTGAGTGGGAAGATACACCCAACTGTAGGTGGCATTATCACATAGTCAGGGATGCAGGATTGAATAAAAAGGGGAAGTAAGATTCATTGCTCTCTGCTTCCTGACTATAGATGCAAAGTGAGCAGTTGCCTGCCACTATGACTTCCCCATCATGATGAACTGTACCCAACTGTGAGTCAGAAGAGTCCCTTCCTTCCATAAATTGTATTTATTAGTATTTCATTATAGCAACCAGAAAAAACATAAAAT